TGTGTAAGCTTTAAAGATGTCTAGCTTTATAAGCTTTAAAGATGTCTAGCTTTATAAGCTTTAAAGATGTCTAGCTTTATAAGCTTTAAAGATGTCTAGCTTTATAAGCTTTAAAGATGTCTAGCTTTATAAGCTTACAGCTGTAGACTTTGTAAGCTTTAAAGATGTCTAGATTACAAAAACATAGAAGATAAAAGGAAAAAGACACTTAGACTTTATTTTATTAGAAAATTAAAGTAGTATTAAAGTATTCAGCTTTAAAGGGCACCCGACTGACCCGTATTGGAGAGAAAAGGGATAAAGATGGAGATGAAGAGGGAAAAGATGGAGATGAAGAGGGAAAAGAGGGAGATGAAGAGGGAAAAGATGGAAAAGATGGAAAAGAGGGAAAAGAGGGGAAACTGGAATTGAAGTGAAAGAGAGATGGAGAGAGGATGAGAAAAATGGAGAAGAACTGACCGATGGGGACATCTAATTATGGAGAAGAGAACGGGGGAAAGGAGGAGGGAATAGAGGGGATCGAGAAGGAGAAACGAGAGATCGATGAGGGGACACTTCGGGAGGAAATGGCATAGGAGAGGTCATTCAGAGGTGGACACTTCATTTTGCTAATTCTGCAATACAATATTTTATTACACTTTATGTCCTTTCAGCTTTCTGATTGTACAGCTAGGGTGAAAAAGCAATTGAACTTGAGCATGACTTGAGAGCTTTTCTCAACACCGGCTAGGTGCTGTCAAAGTTTTCCCTTGATTTTTACCCGGCCTAAATACTTATAACATATTGATCGTATAGAATTACATGTGAAACCTATTTGTGAAAAGTACCGTAGTCAAACCGTTAGTGGTTTGACCGTTAGTGGAATTCAATCCAATTGATTAGACAACCTTATCATATCTGATATTCAATCCAATCCATCCATTCATCGGTAAAAGCCAGTGTAAAGCTTGGATTATTGTATAACTGGTTTACGGAGTACTGGTCAATTTAAATAAAATGAAATGAAAATCTAATCTTTTAAACCTCAGAGAAGCTAAATAACTTAAAGAAAACAACTTTCTGGCAAATTGTTCGAAATAAAAATCATTGAAAAATCTTGAGTAAGATTGGGGGAAAAGCAGCAAAGAGAAAAGCAAAGAGATGACTGAAATTCGGAATGAAATTTTCAAAAGACGAAGAAGCAAATGTGAGCTTTGTCTTTGCCCCTCTCACATTAGATATGCAGTTGAAGGGTGAAGATGGGACACCCCACACCCTGGCACTCGTAAGGAAAAGAAGAAAAGAGAACCCTTGGGGATGGATAAAAGGAAAAGGAGCTCAATTTTCACGGCTCATCACATATCAAAGACAATGGTGTGGTTAACTTTTTGAGAACAGTCTAATAGTAGACAATTCTTTAAAACTTGCCTCTCTGAGACACGTTCTAGAAAGGGAGAAAGGGAGAAAGTGGAGGCATAGGCCACTGTAATGGCAGCACGCTAGATTGCAAAAAAAAAATGGGAAAAGCCGAATTCTTTTAAAGTGCTTGAACGCTATTTACAAAAATTCTTATTCTACCAAATTTGCATTTAAGCCTAAAAGAAAACACAATCGCTTCTTCAATGCAACATTTTCTTTTCTTATCGCCGGGAAATGCGCTCGATTCGACTTCTGCTCTTCGGTCTGTGGATGGTGGTGAGTTTTCTTAAATTTTTTCATTACTGAAGTTTGTTGGCCAGTTTGGCTTGAAGTTTTATTTGATTTAGCGAATCTGGATCACTTTTTTTCGCTAATTATTTGTGGTATGCGTTCTTAACTTGTTACTACTACGAAACATTATGCTTTGTCCGTAGAATTTAAAATTTATGCCCTTAAACAGACTTCGCCATCCTGGAGTCTTATATTAGGCTGTTTAGAAAGTCTTTTCGTTCCTTTTCGTACTTCCGTTTAAAACCAACAAATGCACTAATTGAACTACGGTTTATTTCACTAGAAATTTTTCTACAAAATAACATTAAAATGACTTTCAAATTCCTTATGTCTGGATGTTTTTTTATAGGGTAAAGTCGGGTCGTCAAAAAAAAAGCGGGACGGCTCGACGGCTGATGTGGTTTAGACACTTTGTGCTTAAAGGGGGGTATTAATCGCGGCCGGGTGACGATAAAAATTTTTTTACGGCAACCACCTGTTTTTTTATTTTAATATCGCTGATTTTATTATAAAAAGAATAAAAATCACCCGGCTAGAGTGATTTGATGGGTTTACAAATTTTTGGAGACACTGCAAGGCTTGGAGAAAAGCAAGATCGTCACTCATCAGACACCTCAGCTAAAAGGCACCTATTTGAGAAAACTAAAACCATAAGTGACCACAAATGAAAAAAGATCTAATTGTGTCAATCAAAGCGCTGAAGACGTCCTACGATGGAGGAGATCCAGTCACTTTTGGTGAAGATGCGCTGGAAATTGATAAGATAGGAAGCCGATTTGTACTGCTGTACTTGAGCCGAACTGCTGTACTTGAGCGAAGATGAAAGTGAGCAAGAGGAAGAATTATAGATTAACAATTTATTTTTATTGCTTTTTGTGCTTTTTATTTTGTTTTTAAATTTATCTGCAATTAAAACTCAATCGATCTAGACTGTGCTGATGAGTGACGATCTTGTTTTTCTCCAAGCCTTGCAATGTCTCCAAAAATTTGTAAACCCATCAAATCACTCTAGCCGGGTGATTTTTATTCTTTTTATAATAAAATCAGCGATATTAAAATAAAAAAACAGGTGGTTGCCGTAAAAAAAATTTTTATCGTCACCCGGCCGCGATTAATACCCCCCCCCCCTTTAACGTGTTACGTGTCTACGAAATATTGTGTTTTGTCCGTAGAATTTAAATTAGATGCCCTTAAACAGACTTCGCCATCCCGAAGCGGCAGTACGATTTAGTGTTTAGGCCAAGAGGTGAAAAAGATGAAAACGCAAAAAAATTGAATTGAAAGTGAAAAATGGTGCGCCCGTTACCTAGTTGTTTGGCGGAAAATGTGTTTGTCGATGAAAGTGGTGGGGGAAAGAAAGGAAAAGGTCCCTTTTCATTGCACACAATGCCCATCTACCTCTCCTCTCGACCTAAAATTTGCACTTCACCCAAAGAAAAGTGGTGCATGAATGCTAGATTGTAAATTGCAAAGAAAAAAAAATGGGAAAAGCCGAATCTTTTCCGAATCTTTTAAAGTGCTTGAACTCAATTTAATCAAAAATTCAATTGGTATATCGTCTCGGAAATTTAATTTACCGTAAATACTGTAATAGTACCCCAATCCGATAATGACGATGCGGAGTGTTGCGTAGTCTAGCTTTGAACGAGTTTTTCTCGACACTGGTTTAAGCTACAATGCTCGTTTAGGTATCAAAAAATAGCCCTGAATTTCAGCTATTTTTTGATACCTAAACGAACATTGTAGCATAAACCAGTGTCGAGAAAAGCTCGTTCAAAGCTAGACTACGCAACACTCCGCACCGTCATTATGGGGGTACTATTACAGTATTTACGGTACGTCTTATTCTTCTTCTTTTGATGAATTTGTTATCTTTCAACGGAATTACGGAACGAAAAGACTTACTTTCTGGACAGCCTAACATTTTTTTTGATGCATTTTTACGTTTTTCAACCAAAAACAAGATCATAACTTTGACTTTGACTTTGACTTTTTCTTTAACTTCTACTTTACTTCACTTCTACTACTTTGACTCTGTATTAGAACATTTATTAGAACATTTATTCTGAATTAGAACATTTATTAGCATTCATAATAACTTAACATTTTTATAGTAAATTAACAAGTAACACAAACAATTCAATAACAACTCGATGACAAAATTCAAACTTATTTTAGATTAGATGGCATCTGGATGGCATCTGGAGTTGCAAAGTTGATCACTTCTTGGTTCCAATTTTGTCGAAAACGTTTTCAACATCGGTTACGATCCCCAACGAATTTTGCAGGCACACCGATTTGTCGAATATCCACTAGTACACAAGCAATGTTTATGACCTGAACAATGTTTAGAAAGCAAAAAAATACACAATCTCAAATGAAATAAATACCTTGTTTCCCATGCATTGATGCTTTGCCAATCTGTGCTCAAAAAGAAAAAACATTTTTAGGGACTTCTTCGAGAGTGATGAAGTCGTTTTCGCATGCATGAAGTGGGTCCCTTGAAAACTTGTGTGTTTGTCCCATTCTTGGTCCCAACAATGTCCCATTCTTGGTCTCAATTTTGTTAGCAACCGTTATCAACATCGGCTACGACCTCCAACAAATTTCGATGTCCAATTTTTGATCTATCTACGGACTCGATAATCATTTGCACGTTACTTTCAACATCGAAAATACTATTACTCTGACTACGGTAGTTTTGTCATGCTATAGTGTGCCCTACTCGTGAAAACGGCACCTGCGATCTTCGAAGTGCTCCAACTTTTCGCCTGTCCAATCGATCTGCATGTTCTTGGTATCAAAATGCTTGAAAAACATTCTAGTTTAATAGGTATCACTTTTTTTGTTGTTATTTTTGATATAGGTGAGTTATGAATGGATAAAGACAAAAAAGATCATTGGAAAACTTGGAAAACAAAAAAGATCATCGATTTTTAAAAATCTGCAAGAGGGATCTAAAAAATTCTTTCAGATTCATTGTTCAGCATATTTTTCTGTGTCGAATGACTATTCAAACGTAAAAATTCTATAGAAAACGATCTTTTTTTGGCTTATTTTGCGCGGATGTGGTGCGCGGTATAGAGGTTTTTTTTTGTCACTTGATTCAGTCACTTGATTAGACAGAGTCAGTCACTTTATAAGACAGTGACGGACAACTGCAAGCCATGGCACAATCAATTAGGGCTTTTCGAGGAATTCGCCGAATTATTAACTCGTGAGAAGGGATGAAAGGTGGTGATTGTGATGGTTTTTTTGTTGTTTTTTTGAAAATTTATTGTCTCCTCATTTTGCACAGGAATTCACAATTAAGCATTCGGATCAGGTCCCCATTCGGTGTAAAGCTCGAAATCGTCGTCTTCCCCACAGGCCGCACATCCATTCGAGTAGGCTCCATCGTCTCGAATTTGCCACGAGGTCACTCCATTGTGATTTCCCTGACTAGCCGTGTCGGGGGCTCCCGAGCAGCCGCTACTGAAAATTATCGATAAAATTCGGCAACAAATATTTACCAAGTTTAGAAAATGCACTTGACTTTTTCAAGAATACAAGATATCCATTTAGAAACTTACGCCGGAGATCCCCAGACATTTTGATGGATGTACCAGTTGCCGGAATCACGTGCCTCTTGTCCGTTATTGTTTGCATAACACCAGAAACAAGTATTGAACCCGGAGTGGAAACCCCAAGCCAAGGCCTGCAAATTTCTATAATTCAACAAAAAGTCAAAGCTGGTGGAAAGGATCTAGTGGAGATCTCGTGTTTATCCAGGGGTAAAAGAGCGAGAGCTCTAGGCCACTAGGCCCTAAGCTCAATTTTGACGTAAACTTTAAAGCGAAATATCTTAAAATTTTAGAACCATCATCCCCAAACGACATACACTATCGGAATCAACGCAAAAAAAAAACTGAGATGTGCTAAGTCTTGGCCCAAAATCGAGGTGTAAATCGAAAAGCATCCATAGTTAGACGAAAGTCATCACCCTATGCATATAAAAACTCTGAACACTCGTTGCATACCATCCCGTTTTCCAATGTCCACCAATCGTCATCATCCGATCCATCGCCAGTGATCGCATCATCGCCGGAGGCACATTTGAGGTAAATCGAATTCGAGCAGTTGTTCACAACAACGATTCCATACTCGGCATTCACCTCAGCGATGAATGCATAGGCTGCATTGGCCATCACACCAAAGCCACACTCAACGCCCACGCATTCAGGATCCTGGCCGATCACCGACGAGAAAAACGTCGTGAAAAAGAAGAGAAGAGTTGTCGTTTTGAAGGCAATCATTGTTCAATCGATACCTTCATTTTTGTATAAGTTTGAAAAGATAAATGACCAATCGGGAGAATAAGGGTTATTTAAAATTAGCTTGCTCTAAAGAACTTCCAGCTAAAGAACTTCCAGCTAAAGAACTTCCAGCTAAAGAGCTTCCAGCTAAAGAACTTCCAGCTAAAGAACTTCCAGCTAAAGAACTTCCAGCTAAAGAGCTTTCAGCTAAAGAGCTTTCAGCTAAAGAGCTTTCAGCTAAAGAGCTTCCAGCTAAAGAGCTCTAAAGAGCTTCCATAAAATAAAGCACGCGTAAAAGTGCCTGCGTTGTGACATGGGGCCTGGACAGCTCGTTCTGTTCGAGGGGATGATGGCTTCCGCCTCGGAACCAACAATCCCTCCTGTCTTGATAAAAGTAATCAGATAAAAGCAATCAGATAAAAACAATCAGATAAAAGGAAAAGTTCAGACTTAAATTTGACTTGGTGCCATGCTTGAAGGGTCAAAAAGCCACGCTATTTTTAGTGTCAAAGTATATTCGAACCACGCTATTTTTTAAAGCGCCCTTCTCCTTCCAATCAGCCGAATGAATAATTAAATTTTAAAAACTGATGATTATTCAAAATTTTATACTAGCTTTTATATCATTTCCCCACAATGGAGAGGCAAAAATATTTTGGTTTTTCCATGTTTTTTCGATTTCAAAATGTACAATTGTGCTTGGTCGTTTGTTCAAAATGTCTGTACTATTTGTCCTTTTGACCTATGCATTTGATAATTGAAAAGTGTTTTTTGAAAAACATCAAATGACGACAAAGCGCTTTACATATTTTTCCATATTACTTTAGCCATTTGATGAGCTCTCTGAAAAATTCCCTTTCGCTCATTCACTAGTCCAATTGTCGCAGTCAGTTATTGTAAACTAAAGCAATAAAGCACCGATTTGTTGTTGTTTTTGACTTAACCAAAATGTTCTATATTTATTTATTAAGTACTTGCAAAAGAAAATGCGGATTAGAACAATTCCGAACTCGAATTCCGGCTTCCAATTCCGGCTTCCAATTCGAACAACCCAAAAATCAATAAGAAAAAACTTTATTCCAAAATACACTACGGACAATGATCATATTTGAAAAGCCACTTTCGCGCCCTATCCCCTTGCTTTCCGTGCTTCCAAATTTAACCTTCGCCACTCCAAGCCCAAGACCGCCATTTGACCAAAGCCGCATCATTTGACCCAAGCCGCCATTTGACCCAAGCCGCCATTTGACCCAAGCCGCCATTTGACCCAAGCCGCCATTTGACCCAAGCCGCCATTTGACCCAAGCCGCCATTTGACCCAAGCCGCCATTTGACCCAAGCCGCCATTTGACCCAAGCTGCCATTTGACCCAAGCCGCCATTTGACCCAAGCCGCCATTTGGAGCTAGTCGATGGGAGCGTCGCGCCGTCGTTTCTTTTTCATTTTTTAAAAATCATTTTTGTTTTTTCGTTGTCTTTTTTTTGTCAGATTGATTGAAATTATTTTTTTACGCGATAAATGTTGTGTTTCTTTTTGAAATGAGAAAGAAATCTATTTCCAGGCGGAGTGGAGAATCCGGAACTTTTCGTAGCCTGACCACAATGAACACTTTCTTTTTCATTTCTTTTTTATTTTCAAATCATTTAGTTTTGTATTTGTATTTAGTGAATTTGAAAGTTTTGTTCTCTTTTTATTGAAGGTATTGTTTTACGCGATAAATTTTGTGTTTCTTTTTGAAATGAGAAAGAAATCTATTTCCATGTGGGAGCGGAGTGGAGAATCCGGAACTTTTCGTAGCCTGACCATAATGAAGGCCAAAACTAATTCTAAGATGGTTTGGGGAATTGAATGGAAACAACAACGTGACAAAACTACCAAACGTGACAGAAATCCCAAAGATCCTTACCATTTTTCCATTGCTTTACAAGAAAGGACACGTTTTCTAAACAAAAATTATCATAAAATCATTTTTTTCATCATTTTTGTCATTTGTGGACTACAAATAGGCTAATTACAGCCACTTAATAGTTCAAAGCGAGGAAAAAGGTTGTCCATTGAATAAAAAGGACCACTTCAAAGGAGTGGGACGTTCGACGTTCGCTGAAAAATGTGCTTTCTTTGACGGCTTTGACATTTTTTCTACTCTTAGAAAGCTTAGAAGTACGAGTACGGTAGCTTAGCGATAAATTATTATTTTTAGCCTCAATTTGGCGATCTTTTATTCCACCAACCATGCTCAAAAACCAATGAAATAAAGAGCTGAAAGATTTCAAATGTAATGAGATCACAGAGAAATAGCTCGATGGAGGGTAAATGATAGGAAAAAAAAATCGATTTCCATCTAAAATACAGTAATCAATGGTCGATGTGATCCGCGTAGCATTGGCCTCAATTCTTCGGGATCATTTGGAAGTGGGATCAAACGGGAAACCACTTCACGTTGTGATTTCGCGCTTCTAGCTCTCGGCTTGCTCATTGGAAGCTTTTCGTGCTGAAGATTGAGAATGGAATTAAAGATTACTATATTTCTTTTAGTATAACAGTATAAACTTATTCAACCGATGAACTGAACCACTTCGATCGAAGATATTCACAAGGGAAGGTCAACTGCTAGGCAAAATGCTATGCGATCTATACCATTCAACGCAGAATTTGATGCTGATTCCGAATATGTATTCCGTTTTTGCTAAATGACAATCTATCTGGAGTTATAAGCGTCTAAAGTTTTGTTAGGACTCTGAGGTTTTAGCGGGGTCTTAGCGGCTTTCTTGTCGACCCGTTTCGGTGCAGCAGTGGCCGAGTGATGCAACGTTCGTTTCCAGAGTGAGACCTCACAAGTTCGATCCCCAATTTGGATTTTTCTTCTGCTTGTTTTTTCAAGAAGTGCTGACTAGTGTTCTTTGTATAGTATAAATACTAGCTGCGCTGGGCGTCTGCTACGCGGTCGAACGGAGAAATTGTCTTATGGCACCCATCAAAATTACTCTAGTTTTAAATTTTCTACAAAATGATACATTAACCATGAAAATCGGTACACTGGCGGCTGAGATCGAGGGTCGGAGTACGCAATATTACTGTTTCCGTTGCCTGCAGAAAAAAATCTGACCTCAACGGGGAACTCCGCGACCCCGAAAACCTATAAGGGGAATTTTTGGAGCTCTAGCTTCTCCCGCTCTCGAGATGAAAGTTGCGTACGAACGGACGGACAGACAGACGGACAGATAGACAGACGGACAGACAGACAGACAGAGAGACGGAAGGAAGGACAAACGGACAGACAGACGGATGGACAGACAGACAGACGGACAGACAGACAGACAGACGGACGGACGGACAGACGGACGGGAAGACGGGCAGACAGACAGACGGACGGACAGACAGCCCTCAATTGTATATAGTAAATAGATCGCGTAGCATTTGGCCAGCTCAGCCAGTTGGCCTTCCCTTGTCATCTCCATATCTCTATTCTTATTATAACAGACGTGATTGAAAGATATTGTAAAGATTTCTAATAGCTTGAAACCACCGTAATCTTGAACGAGCTTCATCCGATTCATTTCTCTGAAACGTGCCCCTTTCTCTTGCTTTCTCTTGCTACCGTAATCTTGTCTCTATTTACGGTAAAGGGACACTTTTTAGAAAACTATTCGAATGCTCATACAGTTTTGAATTTGTTCTCAAATTTTACAAACCTTTTTCACCATCTTCACTTTCTTTAACGGGACTTTTGTGGGCAATTGCTTGAGCTGTTCGACTTCTTTCAAATCGTGATTAATTTCCGCGTCAATTGCTTCAATCTAGATTTCTTTTTTTTTGCTTTAAATAAAGCTGAATAGCTTTTTCTAATAGCTGAATAGCTTTTCTAGCTATATGAATGCTAAATTTGCATTTAAAATGATACCTCATCAATTAAATCGGCTTCAATTTTCTCGATTGCCTTCAGCGATTGAAAAGGGAAATTTCGCTCAAAACTGAATATCTTTTATTTAAGGGGAATTTTAGAAATGTTATAATCTCATTTCTTGATAAATTTCTTGATAAATTTATTGATAATCTTACTTGATAAATTCGAAAACGTTCAATCCTTGATCACCATTTAAATCAAAAGCATTTAAAGCGCTATGTTTTCCCTGAAATTGAATATTTTAATAGAAAATTTCAAAATTTCAAAAGTTATCATTTTTAAGGCATTCATTTAATAGATAAAACTTACTTTCAAATGAAATCTTATAGCCAACATCTTTCTCAACTCGGTCTCATCCAGTTTCAAGTCGAAATTCGTGTCATAATCCTAAAATGGAGACTTCTAAGTAGACGAGAAGGCTTGTGTTTACCCAAATGCACAAAAATGATTGTTTACCTCATAAATTTTCCCGTAATAGTCTCCTTTTTCGTCATTTGTACGACTCGGTTGAAGAATCCAGAAACGAGAAAATTCGGCTTTTGAGAGACTGCCATCACCTGGAAAAGAGAATCTACCATATGTATAAAATAGAAGAGACGTCCGTCTGTCTGTCTGTCCGTCTGTCCGTCTGTTTGTCTGTCCGTCTGTTTGTCTGTCCGTCTGTTTGTCTGTCTGTCTGTCCGTCTGTCTGTCTGTCTGTCTGTCTGTCTGTCCGTCTGCCTGTCCGTCTGTCCGTCTGTCCGTCTGTCCGTCTGTCCGTCTGTCCGTCTGTCTGTCCGCTCTCCCCCCTCCCCCCCCCCCCCCCCCCCCCCCCCCTTCTTTTTTTTTTTCTTCCCTTTTTTTTTTTTTCTTCTCCCCTCCCTCCCCTCTTTCCCCTCCTTTCTTTTCTCTCTTTCTTTCTTTCTCTCTCTTTTTTTCTTTCAAACGCGACACTCGAGTGTCGCGTTACGGAGCGCGGTAATTACGGACAGACAATAATTAAATTTACTCAATTTTTTGTTTTTTTTTAAAATAAATTTTACTTTACATTTTAAGAAAATTTTGCGAAATTCGAAATAAAATTCGACAACAGATAGTTGCCAAGTTTAGACAATGCACTTAGCTTTTTCGAAAATACAAGATACCGTATTCTCTCTAATAGTAGTGCACCCTAAGCCTTGCCTAAATTCCTCGAAATCTCGAGAACCGCTTATCAGAACCTATCGATGTGGGTTCGGAAAATGTAGCTGACGATGAGATCTAGTGAGGGATTAGAGTGTTGAGCTTCTGGGAAAACTTGGAAACTGCAAAATAGTCATCAACTCGGCTGGGTGAACTACTACTAAAGAAAATACGGTACATATTATACTATCACTATCAGTAGTTGGGATACAGTAATCTCTAGATCTATTTAAATAAATTCTACACGCAAACAGCTTTTACATCTTACTGTAATGAAACTTTTAAAGCAAACCGTTTAAATCATGCAACATGAAAGTCGATTGTGGAAGGGGAAGCGATGAGACGATAGCGATGAAAAGGGAAAGTGAAGAAAGTGAAGCAAATATCCGAACACTGTGACATTGTGACATTGTGAAGTGAAAAGCCTAAATTGTAGTCTAATAGAAGAGGAAACTATTACTATTGAAATAAACAATTGAAAAAAAGAAAGAAGTATTTTAATAGTTGTAAACTAGTATCGAAAAATTGAGTAGAAATAAACAAGTGACTATTTTCAAATCATTGAAAATAACAAAAATATGGCAAAAATGTTTTTATAAGGCTTTGGAGGGTTATAAAAAGGGTTATAAGGGTTTTAAAACCATTTATAACCATTTATAACCCATTTATAACCCATTTCCTTTGATGACTCATCAAGGTGAGCGTGTTTGTGATGTCAGTAAGTGGAATGAAAATCGAAAATCATTTGCCCGCAAGGTTGTTGCCTTTTTTTGATAGAGAAAAGCTCTCTTTTTAAGTGCGTGAACATGTTTTTGACGTCAACAAAAGCTTTCTCTTTTCTTTATGAACATTTTACAGCATTTTATGAACATTTTTTTTAAGTTTCCTGAGTAAATCTTGATCTTAGCGAACAGTTTTTTGCTTTTTATGCTAAAAAGTTGACTTTCTTTTGCTCATTTTAGAGATTTTGCTGTTTGTAGATTTGAATCTATGAGATTCTATGAGATGTAGGAAAAGATTTCTATTTTGGGCAGGCTAAATTCTAGCCTGAATTTAGCCTGCCAAAAATCAGCAGCAAAATCTCTAGAATGGGCAAAAGAAAGTAAACTTTTTAGCATAAAAAGCAAAAAACTGTTCGCTAAGATCAAGATTTACTCAGAAAGACTTGGGTAAGCTTAATTCTAGCCTGGCTAACGTAACTCGAAATCCAGGCAATTTAATTTTATGCTACGGTAACCTCAGTACTTTCTACTGTAGTCAGAAAGATTACTGTGAAATTGACTAACTTGATGATAGGAAAATATTCATAAAATTAAATCGAGATCTAGATTTGCTACGGTATTTGAAACAAAGTATAGAAATCAAATCGGGCCGGGCTACGGTAGCTGGCGCATGTTTTAGACACCTGTTCGAATCGATCAACAAGTAGATTAAGAGCGTTCAGGATTCCATTTCGAGGTTCTAATGGCTCCAAGTTATACAAGTCTTTGAAAGCCCCGAGACAGCTGGTTCTGTGGTGTTGTGGATAGTGGGCTACGTTACTGAGCGGCTACTCGACGGTTCGAATCCGCTCGCTTGTTTTTTTTTGGAAAGACTGTTCGGTGTTTCCTGTGTGCACATACAAACGCGCGTCTTCTGGCATTGAACAAACTATGTTATGAAAACAAACTGGCAAACAAAAACAAAAAGAGAAAAGGAAGCAGATTCAAACTCTCGAGCAGCTATTCCGTATCCTAACCCACTATCCACTAGAACAAGCAGCCAATTTTCTCAGATCTCTTAAAGACCTCTATAAGCCACTTTACTTGCTCGTAAGCCTTATAAAGAGAGGCCAAAAATTTTTGCAAAATTGCGCGCGATTCAGAAAAATTTTGCAAAAACGAATCAGAAATTCGAAATCAGCGTAAAATTGTGCGTCGAATGGTCGAATTCGACGATTCAGTTCACCAAATGAAATGAATTCATTCAATGAATCATAACTCATTTCATTTGGTGAGCTGAATCTTTTGACCATCCCTTTTTCGTTTAAAAAGTTTTTCCGTTTACAAGGTTGTATGTTGAACAATGGTTGCATTGGAAATTGAAATGGAGTTGGCGAACTAGTGCACTTCTGTGTGTTTGTAAAATTTGGCGAATCAAGAATTGCTAGAAATATAGGTAACCAGAAAGAACTATAGAATCGAAAGGGAAAAACGGGCGTTGTTCAGTGACCAGTCAGCCAGCCGGTGACTGTCAGCACAATGGGAATGGCAAAATTGACCGGCTAAAGAGATTTCTGCTTGTCAGAGCCAGCCAGCTACCCGCTGGGTGAATTGAAGAAACCCTTTTAGGCTGAGAAGAGCGCTGGATCGAACCCCGAACACCCCCATCCATCGTTTAGCCTTGAAATAACGAAAAGACAAAAAATGTTTATGTGAACACACTCCAAAACTTGCTTCTTGTTCCCTTTCTTTGCCGTTTTAGTGATAATTAGCTGGAGAGCTGGAGAACTGGAGAGATGGAGAACTGGAGAGCTGGAGAGATGGAGAGCTGGAGAACTGGAGAGATGGAGAGCTGGAGAACTGGAGAGCTGGAGAACTGGAGAGCTGGAGAGCTGGAGAGTTGGAGAACTGGAGAGATGGAGAACTGGAGAGATGGAGAACTGGAGAGCTGGAGAGATGGAGAGCTGGAGAACTGGAGAATGTCTTTTGGATTACCCTAGGAATGTTCTTTTCAGTGAATGACTCAAAATGGGATTCGACGCATTCCTGTCGTCAAAATGCATGTGTTTTTGTGAAATTAGCAAAAAACACAGGAATCCTTTCTCACCGAAATTCTTTTCTTCTTCATAAAGCGAGCTCATTTGGTTTAAATCACTGACAATGAGTGCACCAGAAAGAGTGTGTTTACATTCTTAAGCACAAAGTACAGTAAAAAGCTATTTTAGATAAACTATCGTAATCTAACCATTAGTTTACATTCAATCACCTCAATTTTTTGAACCATTAACTTATCCTTGTTCTCAGTCTTCTACGATGATAGCCTTGATTTCTCATAGTATAAGACTAAAATTCGATTCATTGAATGTGAAATGGTAATCAGAATACCGTAGTTCTTTTTAAAAAAACACATTAGCCAAAATTGGAAAGGAAAAAGAGAAATCAATTGCTTTAAAGGTGAAAATTTGCATTTAAAACCTTATGGACGAAATTTGCATTTAAACCTTTGTCTGTCTTTTAAATCTTTCGCGACAAAATTTACATTTAAAACGCGGACCCATTTTGTCGCTTTTTTTCCTCGATAAATCATTTCTCTCCAATGTTTCGATATTCAGCCAAAGACCAACGAATCAAAGCAATAATGTCATTCATTCATCTTAAATAATTTATAAGATTGAATATAAAGATTGAATATAAAGATTGAATTTGATTGAATATTTATAAAGATTTAGAAAGATTGAACTTAAAACTCTTACCGTAAATACTGTAATAGTACCCCACCCCCATAATGACGGTGCGGAGCGTTGCGTAGTCTAGCTTTGAACGAGTTTTTCTCGACACTGGTTTATGCTACAATGCGCGCTTAGGTATCAAAAAATAGCCCTGATTTTCAGCTATTTTTTGATACCTAAGCGCGCATTGTAGCATAAACCAGTGTCGAGAAAAACTCGTTCAAAGCTAGACTACGCAACACTCCGCATCGTCATTATCTTTGGTATCAAAAAATAGCCCTGATTTTCAGCTATTTTTTGATACCAAAGACGCATTTTTTGAAAGTACGGGCGCTTTGAAAAAAATGAAATACTAAAAAACTTTTGCGACTACGCGACTGTACGAGGGGGGTGGGGTACTATTACAGTATTTACGGTATAGTATTATAACCTGATATCCAGGATGAGTGTACTCTCGCTCCTCATGGGGCGACACTTTTTCATTTGGTTCTTGCCTTTTTGCAACCTCTCGTTTCCCAAGCGTGTCGGTCCTAGAATGGTCAGTTATAGTATTATAACTCTTATAGTATTATAACTTGATATCCAGGATGAGTGTACTCTCCCTCCTCTTATAGTATTACTCGTGAAAATTTGCATTTAAATCCTCGTCTGTCTTTTAAATCTTTCGCGACAAAATTTACATTTAAAACGCGGACCCATTTTGTCGCTTTTTTTCCTCGATAAATCATTTCTCTCCAATGTTTCGATATTCACTGGTGCTTTTCTGCTTTCTTCCGCTCCTCGTGCAATTGCAATCAGTCGAGGATCTGAGAGTGGGTTTTGGTTTTTCTGGTTTTACCAATTTTCCCCTAATCTTTGCATCAATTTTTTTTTCTTTTAGAATGATCACAAACCAACACCAACCGTTCAGCCAACTCAGCCGCCAGGTAAAGATTCTATTTGTTTGCAATTGCTAAATGTTTGTTTTTTTTTAGCAGTTCGTCAAAACAACTCAGTCAAGTCACGCACGATCGATCCAGTGCTCCGGAATCTCATAGTCGTCTTGCTCGTGTTGGTTTCTTCGTTTCTTGTGCATCAATTGCTTTTTTTCTTCAGCTTCACCCTGATTTTGCTGATCCTCTGCGCTTTTTGCGTCATCATTATGCTGTGTGTTTGCTTTTGTAAGTTTGATTCGTATTTTAAATCAAATTTCTCTTTTTTTAGACGCATGTACCAGTTTCTATCGGAAACTCGGAAAGGAAATGCAAAAGCGGCAAGAAATTAACCAAGAAATGGAGGAAAAGGTGAGGAATTTCAAGTTGTTTTTTGTTTTGCTGTGGCTGTGGATTTTCAGTCGGATGTAAGTATTACACTAAATTATTGGTCGGAAAACCGTTCCGAGAAACCCAATCATACCCGATCAACTCTTTTCGTTTAGGAGGAATCCAAGCAACCTGAAGCAATTCTGAAGAAATGTACGATAGTAGAAAGCCGAGAGAAATGTACGATAGTTTTAAACAATATTGATTTGTTTCTCTTGGAATCAACTTTTTCTTTCAGAGCACGAACAACAAATAGACGCAAACTTGACAAGAATTGGCAAGAATTTACGCCAACGGAAAAGACCGTCATTTTTTGTAAATTTTTATGTCAATAAAAGCTTTGTACATGATTTTTGGGTGCGTTATTCTGATTTATTCGATTGTCGAACTAACGTTTCCGGCTGCAATGTAGGTATTTTAAATATTTGCCTGTCGTCCAGGCGGGGCCAGATCTCTGAAACTCGCAAGAATGCATGGATCTGTCGATGTTCGACTTTTATTCGATTCAGAATGATGGTGATTTCTTCGAAAACTATCGATTTTTGTACAAAGGGAAGTAAATAAAAGGGGATAATGTGGTTATTTCAGCAGAAGGCTTTTGGTCCAGGATTGTCAGATCCATGCATTCTTGTGAGTTTCAGAGATCTGGCCTCGCCTGGACGACAGGCAAATATTTAAAATACCTACATTGCAGCCGGGAACGTTAGTTCGGGTGGGTGGGGCAGTATTATTTTTCCATTCATTCAGGCAGCGGAGTTAGGGTGATTGGGCTAAAGATTTGGTTTTTTAAAATTTGCATTTTTTGGCTGTACAAAATTGATTTTTGTCAAAGATATCAAATCAAAAAAGCAATGGGAAATTGTTTATTCAAGGCTCGAGTTTTTATCGGGAAGAAGGCTTTTTAACGACGAGAAGAGTGCACATTTGTGGTGTTAAATCGCTTCATGCCATTTCCCTCTTAGCAGCTCGATGCTCCACTTCGGGTTCACTCGATTTACCACGGGAAACCTAAAACAAAGAAACTACAGTAAGCCGATGATAAAAATGTTTACTGTTCTTAAATGTTACTCGAAGTTGTATCGAAAAAAGGCTTACCTTGCGCTGACGCTTGTTGGAAGCTTCAGATGTCAAACGGCGAGTCTAGAAACAAAAACGATATTACAGCAAGCCACAAAATTCATCTCACCTTTGCACGTCCTCGCTTTTCAGTGACCCTCTTGGCTTTCTTTTTCTCTTTGCGTTGATCATCCGATGAAGAGCCTTCTTTGTTTGAATCAGGCGATTGCTTCTGAACAAAAAAGTAATGTAGCATTCAAATATAACCCCAACCTTTGTAGCTCCCTGTGCCAACTTTTTTTGTTCTCTATCCCTGGCGACATCTTTCTTTTCATACTCCGAAGCAGATGAATCGACATTAGAGTTCTAAGAAAGAGCTATAGAATTCCTAAAACTAATTGCAAACCTTAGCACGTCCTCGTTTCACATAAGCTTTCTCCGTTTGCTCCTTTTTCTTTTTGGGCAAGCTGTCCGATGAGGTCGATGAAGTGCTTTCCTTCTCCGGTTCAGAAGATTGCTTCTGACCAAAAAGTGATGAAACGTTCAAAAAGAACTCTAACCTTATCACTTCTCTTTGCCAACTTCTTCAACTCGGATCGACCCTTCTTCGTCTTTGCAATCTTGCGAGCGGTTTTGGTAGGAGTTTTCTTCTCGGAGTCGGACGAGCCGCCACTTGAATCTTTCCCACTCTAAACAGAACGAATCATAGTAGCAAGTTGGCATTAAATAACTAACCTTATCACTTCTCTTTGCCAACTTCTTCGACTTCGATCGGCCTTTCTTCGTCTTTGCGATCTTGCGAACGGTTTTGGTAGAGGTTTTCTTCTCGGAGTCGGACGAGGCACTGTTTGAATCTTTGCCGCGCTAAATAAAACGGTTGTTGCGTGTAAATAAGTGAAAAATGAATGAACACTCATCTTGTTGAAACAAAAATACGAGAAAAAAACTCACAGAGTACGTCTCGGATGGAGCAGGAGTAGGTTTTCTCTTGATGAGACGGCGAGATCCAACGGTTTTCTAAAAATACACAATTGCACTCAATAACATGAATTTTTCAAGACTAGTAAACTTTAAAACTTTAAAATAAAATCCAAAATACGTACAGCAGACTCCGACTTCCGGGTATTCTTTGCAGGGCGACGAGCAGATGACGCGGCTTTCTTGGATGAACGAGGCGAGATGGCGCGACGAGTCGAGGGTGAGCGAGTACGCGAGCGGGTGCGAGAAGAAATCCGGCCGTAGTCGCTTGGCTTCACGCTGCCCTCGGGAGGCTTGACGGACTCTAAACGTGAATTACAGTTCTGCGCAAATCCAGTACTCTTTTCAAAGTCAAAAAAGACTCTTACCCTCCACTTCGATTTTCGGCGTCATCGGTCGAATGGAGGGAGAGGTGGGTTGGCTTTTCGAATCGAGCGACTTCACGACTTGGGAAAACTGGTTTGCGACCAAAGCATTGTCCTGGGTGGAATCTGAAGAACAAGTATTAGTACACGAATAAAAATGAGGGTACAGATTGGCAGAATAACTAGAAATATTAAACTATCTAGGTAGTAACTGCTAAAATCTTAAAAAAACTATAACTATAACTAAAAACTATAACTAAGCCTACTGCAAAGGGCAGCTTCGATAGCAAAACAAAACGAAGTAAAAAGGAAAAAAAACTCACTTGATGATTGCATCAGAAGTCGAATGGAGGTAGCGAACGAACAAAAATAGTGTGAAATTTCTACGCCGGAAGCTTTCTTTTATTTGAAGCTTAAATGTAAATTACGAGATTTCCGATGCAAAGTTCACGCTGCAGATTCCCTTATTTATCTTTCACAAGAACAAATATGGTTGAAAATACGATAAATAACTTGCAAGATTTACACCCATGCACAAAAAAAATGTCACAACAAAACACAGAACAAACCACGCAAAAGTTACAAAAATCTTATACTTTGGCGGGAATCTCCCTTAGCTTGGAGGATTTGCCTGATTCCTCCGTGGCATCGGATCAGTCAAATCCTCCAAGATTTGGGAGGCCAGAAAATATGGTCATTTTTTTATGTTTGATTTTTTGTGCCCTTTTTGGTGTTCTGGTATTTATTGAATAAAAATTAACAAATGCTGGACTTCTTTTCCGCCAAAGTAGAAGCTTTTTGCTATCTAAAACCTTTTGACAGCATAGAATTTGGAACACGTTTAGTAGGTCAAATTTAGGCGTAAAGTTTTGTAAAAACGATGTGACATTTTTTTTGTGCATGGGTGTAACTTTGCAATATTTCGGTGACCAATAGCTTAAAAATATTAAAAACAGCCTAAACAGCCATTTACTACATTTAAAAATGTTACATTTTCATTTAAAAACATGAAATTTGTCGGAAATTTTCAAAAACTCGAAAAGTTAATTGATAATATGCTTTTTAAACATCAAATTCGTGATCAATGTAAAATAGAATTTCATATTATACCATATATTAGATGAAAATTTACATGTATTTCGAGTTTACTTTTTGATTCTCGAGAAAATGTTTCATTTCCTCTCTACGATGTTTCGATATTCGCTAGCGTTTTTCTGCCTTTTTCCGCCTCTCGTTCAAATGACCGTCTCGTTGAGGGCTCGTCGCGAAGCTGATGATGTAAGTTGCTTTCGTGTCAATTTTATTAACGCAGATGAGTTAGTGAATTGTAGAATTGTGTGAAGTTAGTTGTGCTAAAGTTTAAAAAATGATTGGATCATTTGTACATTGAGGGTTTTGATGATAAAGTTTTGAGGCAAACCAATCTTTTTAGTCTACATCGATGCTATTGTTGAGCTTGAAGTTGCCTAAGGAGTTGTTGAACAGTACAAAATCGACACCAGCGACTGAATTTACTCCAACGACGAAACTCACTACGACGGAATCGACTACAATTGGGAAATCTACAACGAACAACGAATCTACAACGTCCAGTCCGACCGTGAGCAAAAACTCGTAAGTCTTTTCTCAGTATTGGAGTTGGCAGAGGCCACTGCAGCCATTTTCAGTAATAATTTTGATCATTAGCTAAGCGTTTTGAAATTAATTTCACATTTGAAAAAGCGCACTTGGTATTTGAGTTTTGAGGCACAGCACTACAAAATATATACAGTTTGCCCGTCAACACCAACTGATTGTTTTAAAACGATTAAACCTTTCTATGTTTTATTTTCTTTTTAGGGCTCTCATAAATCTTCCTCCTTCTCCTCTTCATCCATTCATAAATTCATCTGACACAAGAACGCCTTTTTTCAATCCGTCGCCAACACTGCAACAAAAGAACTACGACAATGCTGATACATTGCTTATGCTGGAATCAGACAATCCACCGCTTCGTCGTGCCGCGTACTTCTTTGCCGTGTGAGTCCTTGATAATGTTTGCGGGTAAATAATCGTTTTAGAGTTCTTATCATCACGCAGGCTTGCTGTATTTGTTGTGTTATCGCTGTGCCCCTGCTGGCTGTTTGTGAGTTTGGTTTTGAGTTAATTTTACACTCATATTTTTAGTTGCATGCATCTTCTTGTACCGAAAAATTGGACCATTGGAAAATTGGACGCAAAATCGCGAGGACGGCTACAGAGCGAAATGGGAAAAGGTAGAACATTGTAAATTTTAAACCACCGTATACGAATTCAAGCAGCTAGGCTACGATAAACCAGAGGAAAAGGTATGTATAAGAATATTTTTGTTTGTGGTTACTGTTTTCGTTTAGCGGTTGCTTGAAATTTGAGATTACATTCAGCGTTAGCAAGTCTAGCTGTCATGATAAAACATTATATTGCTTAAGAAAACTTATTTTTTAGAAAACCGTGCGCAAGTTGGCAGATGGTTCGATGAAGAGCGGTTCAAAGGTAGAATTTTTAATGAAAAACCCTCCTTTTTAATAATTCTACTTTAGGGCTTCAAGGACAAACAATAAGGGCAAAAATTGTTTGATGCGCGCTGAGTGGAAGAATGCACCCATCTTACAAAAATACCTACCTACGTGCATTTTTTGAGAGGATTTTGGTGTCAATAAACGTTTGTGAGCAACTTGTTAATTTTTTTGGTGTTTGTGGATGATTTCGATCAAAATTTACTTGTGACACGCAATTTGCATGTGAATGGGTGAAAGGTTGTTGAAAAGCGCTGCTCGTTTCATTTTTATTTCTACTAGTTCGCTATGCGCCGTTTTGTTCACAAGCCTTCAATTCTGGTAAGATTTTGATGAATATTTACCTTGCGTTTTTATATGGATCTTTCATCTTATGGGCAGCTATATAGCTAATTGCTTTTTTTTAGATAGTCCTTCTTATTGGCTTGCACTTTGTCTCACCGGAATGCGAAGATGGATGGGAGCAAAGCGATGTCCTTGGATGCCTTCTCGTAAGTTACACTTGGTTTTTCTAATGGCGCATGGTCTAGCTGTTTATCCACTAATATTTTGCTTTAGAAAACAAATGTGGTGGCTCAATCGATGGATCAAGCAGAGAAACTGTGCAAGAGCCACAACGCCGGTCTTCTCAAGCTCGATAATGACAAAGAGGCCGATGCTTTTCTGAGTTTTTTTGTTAATCTAGCCATCTATACTAAAATTTCATTTAGTGATGTCGTCCTTTCAACAGAGCAACTCAACGACGAGGGAAAAGAATGTGTCGAAGACGGTGCTACCGCCGAGCCCATCGGGTACATCAAACACTCCGGAGACGACAAAACCGACCACTCGGACTACTACTCAAACAAGGGAACTGACGTCGTTGAGCACTTCTCAACCGGTGGATTCGAGCACTTCGAGCACTTTGATAACAACGCAAAAAAACACCTTATCGCCGATGGAGCCGAATAGGAGAAGACGGGTTTATTTTAGTCTTTAAGCTTGTTGTTAGCTGTATAACTGAAAAGTTGAAACATGAGTTTTGAGCATTAGCTACGGATTTTTTATTTCACTAGCATAAATACTTGGCCGTACAAGAATTACCTAATTTCAGAAGATTGATCAACAAAATAAAACGGCCCAACGGAGCACAACGATGATGGTACAACAAAAGACGACGACTTTCCAAAAGGTTCAGTGAAGTGTTTTCGTTTGCTTATTCATCTTCGATATTTAGTTTTTTGCGTATGGACTGAACTCGACAAGTGAATACTCGACGATCACTAATGAGACGACAAAAGAAACGGGCAACTGCAAATATGTGTGTTGGATATTTTGGTTGACTTGAACCCTTATCAACCGGCACCTTTTAGATCACTTTCCATCTCAACTCGACAAGTAGCTGCGACGTGAGCAATAAAACGCACATGTTCAACTGCGACGATACAATGGGAATTGTGGAAACAGTGTGCCAGAAGGAGCCAACTGTGCCGGGCAAAGATGCTGCGATAGCTCCTTTGGAATAGTAAGTTTTTGGTTATCTGCAATTTAACTTTTTATTTAGTAAGATCCAACTCGGCATTTCTTTGACGCTGGTGTTTATGCTTGAGCTGATCACTTTCACCTCCATTCTGATGATTTTCATTCGAGTATGGAGGGCTCGGAAATATTATCAACTCTTCTTCAAAGGGGTCGGTTTGATAGCCCCTGTCGTTTTAAACACTACTTTCTTTAGTTAAAAGCATTGGATGAACGTGTCAAGTTGCAGGAATACGGAAATCGAGATGTGATTCCCGTTTTGGAATTGGTAAGTTTTTGGAATGGAATATAGATGATATATTTGAAGTAGTACAATTTTAGTTTATTACATTAAGATTGGTATTGACGTTAAAACATGGAAATCGGATCGTGCCAAAGAGAACGAGAAAGCCGATGCGTTGGCATATGTGCTCAAGAGGGACCACCTACCGGCAAGTTGGTGGTTTTCGGCTTTACTGATATGTAACCTGCAGGACTTTCTAGTAAAGTTTGCTAAGAATTGCCACTTTTTTGCTTTTCAGTTGTTCGCCCAACGAACGGCAAGAAGAAAGGAAATAACAAAATAAACAAAGGAAATACAGCAACTTCGATGAATTCGAAAATGGTGAGAACTTTAACTAAGTATTTGTTTAGTGATTATTTTACAGTTTGTTTTTTAGAAAAGTACCATGGCGTCAGCCGCCAAAGCTCCGGGCAAAATTTCACCGCAAGGTCAACAAGCACTACAAGACTCATTGGCATCACCACCTCCACCGCCGCCAATGCAACCACAAGGACAGCAACAACAAGACACGAGATCACAAATGAAAAGCGGTTGGGGAATTGATTTCTTTATTGTTTTTAACATCATTTCTATTTAGTTGCGTACTTCGAAGAAATCGGCGGAAGTAACCAAAACAAAGGAGGTAGTCAGATGGGAAGAAGCGGTCAAAAAGCGGGAAGTGCGCGGAACAACGGAAGTGGCCAGAAGGATAGCAAAGATGTGACCTTTTACAGACAATCTTTTACATTAAGTACTTTTCTATTTGCGTTTTGTGAACATACTAATAAATTGTATTACCGAAAATCTAAACCGTTGACTGTCCTTGGTTGCAGTGAAAGCGATCCAATCACATCCTCGAAAAGAATCGTTGATACTTGGCAATCCAGTTGATTCTTCAAAAAGCTTCAAAAGTCCCGCGTATTCTTGAGACCCACCTTCCGAAAAGTCCGCGTGTTGCCAATAGGGGACGATCACGCGTATCATGTGTAATCGAATTTTCCACGGAAAACTTCATCGTGTGTCCTCCGAATTCACCAACCCGGGAACGCTGTATTGTTGTCTCAGCGTCCTCCAAACGGAATTCATTTTCATGAAATGCTGAAGCTTTTTCCAAAAAAGCCGTCCATTCTATTGCCGACTAAATGCATTGTCATTCAAATTCGATTGATCCCACGGCAAGTACGCCATCGAACGATACAAGGATGTCGTGAAACTCGAATACTTCTGACAACCGAGGAATGGCTCGGTGAAATTCAGGTTGAAGCAATGACCTCCTCTGATGGTATTTGTGTAAGAGACGTTGAGCGAGTCATCCCGTCCGAAGCAGCTTTGTTTTCCAGAATATACCATGAAATCAGCATCACCTTGACTAGTCAATCGCGCCCTGAGTCCAAACGGGAAAGGCTTCGGTTCTTCCACGAAGAAGTTCACGATGTATCCTTGTTTTCCAGGAGCCGTATCAATGAGAGCCGCAGCTTGCTCCATCAGCCCAACTTCGATCAAATGTGTCGCGACTACCCTTAGAAAGTGTCCCCACGTGTTTTTACCTTAAATTTTATAGTTTTTCTTCTTTCAAGGCAAGTTGCTCTGTTTTTTTGCCAACAACAACGCACTTGTGTTGTTGTTGGAGCATGCATTTAATAACATAACAACCATTTAGAAATAATGTTTTATGGCTCATTTTAAATAAACAATGCGGCACACTTTGTTTTTTTTTATCGTTTTTACTATCCTTGGTACTTAATTTTGTGTTTCTCAGAAAGAACGTTGCCTGAAGGAATAGAAGTGTCGTTGCACTTGCACTTGCAACGACAAAGAAAAACAAAGTATGCCGCATTTTTTTGAAACTCCGTACTTTTCTTAGTTGGATAGCAACTGAAAAAGTTATTGATTAGATTTTTCAATTTCAAGTTATTTATTTTTACCTTTTGTTGTACTCGATATGGGACACCCTGGGGATACTTGGGGTGGTACTTGAAAAGTATAATTTGAATTGATCATTTCATTATTTTTCGATCGTATTTTAAACATTTGTCGTTTTTTATTGTCCATGTTCACCAAAATTTTGTTACAGTTCTCCCCATAATGGAAACAACAGAAAAGCAATCGAGTGATCGAGTGATTTCACTGGCTGGTAAGTTGACTTTTTGCTTAAATTTAGCATTTGGTTAGGTTTAGCACGTTGTACTTACAGATGGAATTAGAATTTTAGTGTTTTCAATAATTATCCGAACCATTATCAGTGTTCGATAGCATTAAAACGGTAGTGTTAAAACAAAAATCCATTCAACATGAGTTAGAGTTTTTCAGGGCTTATCAGAAGTATTCTAACTCTAATATGTCAAAAAGGTTTTTTCTTTTTGTATCGAACAAAAACTTGATGACTTTTTGTACTGTTGAAGCGTAGCAAAGACTTAAGCTGAATAACGCTTATTTTGTTGACCGGGCAATGATGCGCATTGTTTAGTAAACGATTTCGATGATTGCCGAAAGAAATTCGACGCATGTCTGATGTCAGTGCTGGGCGATGAGCGATACGCAATGCTGCAAGCAAAAATCGATCGTGGCGCCGATCCGGACGGTCATCACTGGAGACGTGTCAACAATGAGTCGATGGAGCTGTACAGGCAGCTAGACGATCACTTTGGTGAGCGAAAATTTGTATTTTTAATTTTAAAAAACATCAGTCTTTCTTGACTCTGAGATGTAATAGATCGATTTCGCAATGTTGATTTGGGACAAACAAAATTTACGAATGATCAAAATTGCTACACTTTCTTATTGTTGCTAGACCGCTATTATGGAAGAGTTCGAATCAGTTCAACATTTCAAAATATTAGTATCCATTTGCCATCTGTAGTCTAACAAACACCACCCCTTAAATTCGTTAGCCAAAACTGAAAAAACAAAGTTTTAGCTCAGTTCGATGCCTCAGTGTACAAGAAGATCTTCACTTTTTTATTGGATCTTTTGGGAGAAACGGAGCTCGAAAATCTCTATCGATACTTCAAAGCGACTTACGACTCTGAAAGCATTTCGAAAATCAGTTTCCTTCAAACGATCTTTGGGGAGCTCACCGAGAAGTACAGTAAGTTTCATATTTAACTTTTCCAAACCTTAAGACAACTTTAGAGGACATCACTTTTGAATACTCACCTATTCTCATGCAATGTTATCGTTCAAAAGCAAATTACGAGATTGTTAACTTGTCCTGGAAGTTCTTCCTTTGGAAAAACAAGTGAATAATGCTAAGCTTTTTATTTAGAGTTACTTATTTTCAGATCCATCATGGCCGCTACAAGTTCGGAGAGCGAAGTGCTTGCATATAAAGGAAGAAAAGGTAAAATTAACATGGTAACATTTGATTTTCCTTTTGTTTAGGCAAACAGTTGGTCAACGACGCTGTCGAACTTGATAGCTTTATCAAAGTTGGGGCTTGGCTTCTGATCTGTGCTGCTGGATGTTATGTGGGTGTGAGTATGGGTGGCTTGACGCGCTTGAATGAAGCTGCTATGAAAATGACTGACCGTCATCCGTTCACATGGATTCCGCCGTTCGGGCACTGGGATGAAGAATTTGAGAAGTACAAGAAGTTTGATGAGTACAAAATGTGAGTTTGCTAATGAAAAACGGCTTAAACTGTCGGATTGATACTAACTTGGACTTTAGGAATAGGGTATAGGTTGTGTTTTTCACAAGAAGAAAGGGATCTTGCGTAGTTTCCGGGTATTTTAAACGATTCGTCACGCTTTGAAGGCCTATAACTTAACAAAAATATTATTTCTGGACAAAGTTATAGGCCTTCAAAGCATGACGACTCGTTCAAAATACCCGGAAACTACGCAAGAGCCGAAGAAAGAAATTTCTTAAGCCACAAAAATAGACTTCGCACAGGATTACCGTAATTTCACATTTCTCAAAAATCTACAGCACTTATGCAGTTCAGTGTAAAATTTAATTAAATTCATATTTTTATTTGCAGTAGCAATTTTTTCGTTTTTTCAGGCTGCCGACAGAAGAGCGACAGGAATTAACTCTAAACGAGTTCATCTTTCGCTGGCTCCTCGTCTATTTCCACCGAATCGGTGGAAGAATGCTTTTCTTCGTCTTTTTCATTCCGTGTGGCGTCTTCTGGTATAAAGGCTACTTTACTAGTCTCCTGAAGCGCCGAATGTTCATGGCTGGGCTGCTCATGTTCTTGCAGATCCCTTTGGGATGGTACATGTTAAACAGCGGTCTTCACCGTGAGCTTATGGCCAATAAGAAGAAGCCTGGAGTCAGCCAGTATCGCATGGCTTTTCATCTAATCGACCCGTTTCTCATGTTTGGTATCTTCTTCTACAATGCCTTGTCATTACTTTTGCAGCCGCAAAACGTGAGTCACCTAAAAATTTGAGTGAAAGGTTTCGTTTCCAGCATACTTGCGACCTTTTTCCAAGAAAATCCTGGGTTGGCGCTTTAAAGCGTGGTAAAACTACCGTATCCCTCTAATTTGGGCGAAATTTCATTTATTACATTGGCAAAGTAGGAGGGATACGGTAGTTTTACCACGCTTTGACGCGCCAACCCAGGATTTTCTCGAAAAAAGGTCGCAAATTTCCAGCATTGCAATGTCGCCAAAATCGGAAACGCACGCCTTTTTGGAAAGATTCTGATTGGACTACTGCTGGTGGGCTCCTTCATGGGCAGTTTTCTCACAGCCCTCGATGCGGCTGAACCGGAATACGCGAGAGCTTGGTTCCCCGACGATTTATGGGTTTTGGTGCCGAAGTGGAGGAATCTATTCGAGAACCCGGTCACAGCCAATTTTGTACACAGATATTTGGTGAGCGGGGGTGAAGCAACGAAAAATGTTCGGCTTTCCAGGGATACGCCACTTTTGCGATGATCAACGTGACTTTTTTCTACAGTCGCCGTTTGTGCCTTCTCCCTCGTGCCAGTTTGGCTCTCAAGGGCATCATGGCTCTCGGATACAGTCAACTTTTCCTTGGTATTATCACAATGGTATTTCACATCCTTTATTTTGTGTATATAAATACCTATTTACAGTATTTCCGCGATCCTCCAGTCGTCGCTTGGCTTCATCAGAACTTTGCCTTGCATCTGTTCAGCGCCATTCTTTGGTTTGCTCACGAAATCCGCCCACTTCCTTTGTAAATATTGTATAAACAATAAACTTTATGGTTCTTTTCTTAAATTGTTCAAGTTTTCCAACAGATTTCGAAAGATTTGCTTGTTAAGTGAACAAGTGAATGCTAAAGTAAAGATATTGAGTCTGCATGGAGATTGGGGAGGTTCAAAGTCAATTTCTTCAAGCGACAGCATCGCAAAGGAAATATGACAAAAAATTTGTTGGTTTTTAAAAGAATCAATGTCTCAGCTTTTTTATCTTTCAATTCTTTTAAATATTGGCTCTTTGGGTAGACTTGGGAATGAATTGAATAAAAGGGGAAATACTCATTTGGCCGCACAATCATTTCGCTGCGCTCACATTTTGCCGCATAGTCATTTGACCGCACAATCGTGACACACATACCATTAGATAATGGCAGGTGAATTTATCGATCAAAAAGTTGGTTTCTAACGTTGATGACCTTGTTCTTTTCATTTCTTCATTTCTTTTCATTTCATTTCTCTCACCGCGGCAACATTTTGGAAAACGACTTTCAAAATCTGAAATTGGAAAACTATTCGACGATTTTGTTTACTACTTTTTGTTCCAACCTGAATCCAAATCATAGTCACCAATGAAAAAGATTTGTTTTTTGGAAGTCGTGAGGAGTTGAGAATAAAAAATGACTCTCAAGAGTTTCTGCCTTTGTATTCACTCTTTCACATTCTGGCGAGTTGTTGAAGGAAGGTTCTCTTTAAATGAACTGTATTCGCTTGAATCGTTCCTCTGAAAGATCATACGAGCTTAGAAAATGTCTTCATTTGTCGCTGGCATTCATCACATTCACAATTTCAAATTAGCATCAGTAATTTTTTAAACCATGAAATCTGGCTGCTTCTCTAACAAAAGTTATATCTTGTTGTCCTCTTTTTGTGACATTTCAATGACTCTTTAATACTTTCTCTCATCCAAGATCCCTTGTGTCCCATTTGCTTTTATAATTTTTTCGCGCAGGCGCACTTTTTAGAAAACGCATTACTCGGCAATTACTCATGCAAATTTACTCGAGTAATTACTTACTCGCGAGGAACACACACTAGTGGGAAGAGCTCGATGCAGCCTATTTGGTCGCCACCGTTGATGCCTTCCCGAAACGCCTGCGAGCCTGCTCAAATGCTAATGATGGCCGATTCGAATTTGTTAGTTAAATGTTATTCAGTTAAAAATTTGCCTTTTTTTGCTCTTGTCTGCCTTAAAATCAGAACTTTATCTTTTTTCGACAATTATGGCGCACCCAGTACATACTGAACTCTCAGTCACTTTTTCTACTTACCACTGAAACTAATCGGTGTCGTTCTTTGCTCACCCGTTTCAATGCAACTACTATCAAACACGGCATCGCCCTCATAAGTAACAGTGATTCGATCGGGCACTGTGTATGTTTCATAGGAGAATTGAAGACCCGATGCACTTTTTGTGTTCATTGCGCACCCAGTAGAGTTTCATCATAGCAGTTACAGTTGGTTGAATGATCGAATAATCAAATCATCTTTGTTCATTTGAGATTTATCAAAAACGCGAACGGGTTTAGAGAGGCCACAATGTTTCAACTTTTGAAAAACAGCCTACAAGTCGCTCTCATCTGTCTTATCTAGAATTTCAAAATTAATCTCGAGGTACGCCAACGATCGAATTCGATTGACGAGAGTGAAAAGAGAAAATGAAAGTTGCGAGTTTTTCATTTTCATTTTCTCTTCTTTATCCGTGAATTCATTTGTTATCACAATCGATTTTGAGTCAATTTTTATGCCTTCACTCTCTTTATCGCAAAAACAAAGATAAAAGCAAAGTCAAGTCTTTCGAGAAAAATTATTTTTTTAAAGTCCAATTTTAAACCCCCTTTTTCAACTTTTTCAAAAAAAATTTTCTTTAGATTTGGCTGTGATCAATTTTATCTTGTTTTCCATGGTTAAAAACCTAGAAAAAAAGTTGTTTCTAATTGAAATTTCACTTGAAAACTATAAGGAAATGTGTAAAATAATGGAAAAGGTACCTTGTTTTCGACACGTCAATAAAACAGGTTTAGAAACGTTTTAGCTTTCGAACGGCTGTCACGATATTCGATTTTTGCGCTCTATCCAATGAACACATTTTCAGATCAAAATTCTGACGATAAAGTCTAGTTATCGGCCATTTGTTTAGTGAAAAAACCCAGCCTTTTTTGTGTCCCAAAAAATGTTCAAAAATTCTACCAGCTACCAGAAAGCCGCATCATTATGACCAAAAAGATCTCCCCCGTCTTTAATTCAATTCATTCCCAAGGCCACCCAAAGAGCAAATCTTTAAACAAATTCAAAGCTATGATTGATTCTTTTAAAAACCAACAAATTTTTTGTCATATTTCCTTTGCGATGCTGTCGCTTGAAGAAATTGACTTTGAACCTCCCCAATCTCCATGCAGACTCAATATCTTTACTTTAGCATTCACTTGTTCACTTAACAAGCAAATCTTTCGAAATCTGTTGGAAAACTTGAACAATTTAAGAAAAGAACCATAAAGTTTATTGTTTATACAATATTTACAAAGGAAGTGGGCGGATTTCGTGAGCAAACCAAAGAATGGCGCTGAACAGATGCAAGGCAAAGTTCTGATGAAGCCAAGCGACGACTGGAGGATCGCGGAAATACTGTAAATAGGTATTTATATACACAAAATAAAGGATGTGAAATACCATTGTGATAATACCAAGGAAAAGTTGACTGTATCCGAGAGCCATGATGCCCTTGAGAGCCAAACTGGCACGAGGGAGAAGGCACAAACGGCGACTGTAGAAAAAAGTCACGTTGATCATCGCAAAAGTGGCGTATCCCTGGAAAGCCGAACATTTTTCGTTGCTTCACCCCCGCTCACCAAATATCTGTGTACAAAATTGGCTGTGACCGGGTTCTCGAATAGATTCCTCCACTTCGGCACCAAAACCCATAAATCGTCGGGGAACCAAGCTCTCGCGTATTCCGGTTCAGCCGCATCGAGGGCTGTGAGAAAACTGCCCATGAAGGAGCCCACCAGCAGTAGTCCAATCAGAATCTTTCCAAAAAGGCGTGCGTTTCCGATTTTGGCGACATTGCAATGCTGGAAATTTGCGACCTTTTTTCGAGAAAATCCTGGGTTGGCGCGTCAAAGCGTGGTAAAATACCCTCCTACTTTGCCAATGTACCAATGCCAATAGGTATTAAATAGAAATATTTTTATTTTTCATTTCTTTTTTTTTGTTTTTCGCTTTTTCATCCTTGTTCATTTCATTTTACTCTTTTCGTATTTTTCTGATGTGGTCGGGTTTGTTTTTTGCAGGAAACGAAGAGGATAAAGCTAAGTTACGTTTTTTAACAGCATTTTCTGTGGCGGAAGCTTTGTTTGTAAATTTTTTCTAGATCCACTTGCTTCCTGACGATCTGCTCCACGAATTTGATGTCAACTAATGCAAAGTTAAGTGGTTTTTATCATTTTCTATGGCGGAAGCTTTTTTTGTGACATTTTATTTGAAAAAACGTTGGAACGTTGAGAAAAACGCAAAAAGGATAAAATTAAATGGACAAGAGGGAACATAAATTAAATTTGGCGCAAATTTGAGGGGTACGGTAGTTTTACCACGCTTTGAAGCGCCAACCCAGGATTTTCTTGGAAAAAGGTCGCAAGTATGCTGGAAACGAAACCTTTCACTCAAATTTTTAGGTGACTCACGTTTTGTGGCTGCAAAAGTAATGACAAGGCATTGTAGAAGAAGATACCAAACATGAGAAACGGGTCGATTAGATGAAAAGCCATGCGATACTGGCTGACTCCAGGCTTCTTCTTATTGGCCATGAGCTCACGGTGAAGACCGCTGTTTAACATGTACCATCCCAAAGGGATCTGCAAGAACATGAGCAGACCAGCCATGAACATTCGGCGCTTCAGGAGACTAGTAAAGTAGCCTTTATACCAGAAGACGCCACACGGAATGAAAAAGACGAAGAAAAGCATTCTTCCACCGATTCGGTGGAAATAGACGAGGAGCCAGCGAAAGATGAACTCGTTTAGAGTTAATTCCTGTCGCTCTTCTGTCGGCAGCCTGAAAAAACGAAAAAATTGCTACTGCAAATAAAAATATGAATTTAATTTAATTTTTCACTGAACTGCATAAGTGCTGCAGATTTTTGAGAAATGTGAAATTACGGTAATCCTGTGCGAAGTCTATTTTTGTGGCTTAAGAAATTTCTTTCTTCGGCTCTTGCGTAGTTTCCGGGTATTTTGAACGAGTCGTCATGCTTTGAAGGCCTATAACTTTGTCCAGAAATAATATTTTTGTTAACTTTTTTATATCATTTTATAGAGGACATTTCAGGCTTTCAAATGATACTAAATAGAGCTTGATTGAATAATCCAGTCGAAGAAAATCAAAGCGAACAGGAGCAAATGAGGCCTATCCGACTCGGGTGTCCTGGTTTGCATGGGAACGAAAAATCCAGTCAAGCTCTACTTGGTATCATTTGAAAGCCTGAAATGTCCTCTATACAATGATATAAAAAGTTAACAAAAATATTATCTCTGGACAAAGTTATAGGCCTTCAAAGTGTGACGGCTCGTTCAAAATACCCGGAAACTACGCAAGAGCCCTTTCTTCTTGTCAAAAACACAACATATGCCCTATTGCCGCTCCTACAGGCCAAGTAGACTGGATTTTTCGTTCCCATGCAAACCAGGACACCCGAGTCGGATAGGCCTCATTTGCTCCTGTTCGCTTTGATTTTCTTGGACTGGATTAACCAATCAAGCTCTACTTGGTATCATTTGAAAGCCTGAAATGTCCTCTATACAATGATATAAAAAGTTAACAAAAATATTATTTCTGGACAAAGTTATAGGCCTTCAAAGCATGACGACTCGTTCAAAATACCCGGAAACGCAAGAGCCCTTTCTTCTTGTGAAAAACTCAACCTATACCCTATTACCGCTCCTACAGGCCAAGTAGAATCAAGCCGATAGTTTAATCCGTCAGCAAACTCACATTTTGTACTCATCAAATTTCTTGTACTTCTCAAATTCTTCATCCCAGTGTCCGAACGGCGGAATCCATGTGAACGGATGACGGTCAGTCATTTTCATAGCAGCTTCATTCAAGCGCGTCAAGCCACCCATACTCACACCCATATAACATCCAGCAGCACAGATCAGAAGCCAAGCCCCAACTTTGTTTTTGGAAGCTTGCACCATTCCGGAAACGACTGGATGAATGATACCCGTCTTGAAGTTTCTATAGGGAAAAAAGTCGATTAAAACACAACGAGAACGTACTTCCCCGCTGCATAAGCAATTGTAGATGATTTTAAATTCCCCATTCGAAAAATCAAGATTTAAAATAGGTCGATAGAATAAGCAAAAAGTAAAAGGATGAAAAAATTCGCCTACCCGCAATGAAGGGAAAGCACTTTCTTTTCCGTAGTTCATTGGCACTTTTGTTGTCGCTGCTCGCTCTCCTTATGTGAGACAAGTGCACATGTTCTTTCGTTCTCTTTTTTTGAAAACTGGGAGAGGGGTAAACAACAAAAAGTTTTACTTTAGAAGCCTCTCCCTATAGTTTAAAGTAACGTACATTGCTTAGGCATTCATCAAACGATGGTCTGCTAGACTTAAGTGAAAATCGAAAGCTTCGAATACTTTGAAATTCACATTTGAAGATCGCTGGGACTTAGGCTCTATCGTCCGAGAACCGAAAAAGTAATTCAGAGCAATCAAATTTTTAACTTTTGTTTGAGATTAGATGCGCTTTTATGGGAAATCAGCCATTTTTTTTCTTCAATACTTTTCTTCGTCTTTTTCATTTCGTGTGGCGTCTTCTGATATAAAGGCTACTTTACTAGTCACTTGAAGCGCCGAATGTTCATGGCTGGCCTGCTCATGTGCTTGCAGATCACTTTGGGATGGTACATGTTAAATAGCGGTCTTCACCGGGAGCTCATGGCCAATAAGAAGAAGCCTGGAGTCAGCCAGTATCGGATGGCTTTTCATCTCATCGACCCGTTTCTGATATTCGGTATCTTCTTCTACAATGCCTCGTCATTACTTTTGCAGCCACAAAACGTGAATCACCTATAAGTGAAAAGTATCGTTTCCAGCATTGCAATGTCGGCAAACGACAAACGACATGTCAAAATGACAAATGACACAACGAATCATGAATCAAAATGAGGAAGAAATGCCTAGTAGTTGCATATCGATACGAGTTAGTGCCAAATAGAAATGATCTATTTAAAAATTTCCTCTATTTTGTAATCTTTCTATCGCATTCTTAATGTTTTCTATTAGACACTAAACAAAAAAGTATCAATAAGGAAACCTGTGTGAAGAAGAACCTTGAGCAAACGTAAGCACCATAAATTCTATTCCTCGTGTTCCGATTCGAGAAGTCGTTCATGATCGTTCATGATTATGAAATTACCAAAAAACAAATTCCCGCCTTTCCACGACCCTATCCGCTTATCAGCCCAGAAAAGCTCAAAGTTGTTCGCAAATCAGGCTAAAAAGACTGACCTCAAGAAATACAACCATCCTGTGCACGCTAAAAGCACCGAAATCCCGTATGTCATGTTAGCAGCGATGATAATGTAGAACATCAGCAAAGAGAGACCCTCACAACTTTTTCTAGAGTAAAAATGATGATGATTCAAATGTAAAAGCAAAACCTTCGATAGTTCTTGACCAATTGCGGGATTCGTCCACCAAAATAGCAAAGCGCCGCTATCGATCCAATCACGTATCCGAGCTAAATTAAATGTTAAAGATGTGCCATTATCAATGTCTAGTTTTTAAATAACTAGTTACCGATTGAGTATTAAATCTATTTTAATTTCAATTTAACTCTCCTACCTACTCCAGCGGCAGCTCGTTTCGTTTCTCATTCAGCTAAGTTGAAGCGCAGAAACGAGAAGAAATGAAGCTTGGAAAATTTCTGAAGCAATGCCTAAAGCAATGCCAATTTGTATCCAAATTTTGCGCCTTTTATGCGAATTTATTTTTGGATGTCCGTTTCTCTCACCCCTTCATTCATGTTGGGCTTCTTCTCTCCACTTTCTTCCTTGAACTTTAGGTTATTGTAACTCTTGTAGGTCTAAACAACCCTTTCCTTCTTATATACGCGACAATCCCATAAACGAAAGCTCAATGTAACCACTCGACTTGTCCTTTCTTCCCCCCTTTTTCTTCACTCTTTCATTTATTTTCCAAACACGCGACTCTTTTCTCTTTCGCACTAATCAAAGTGCTAAGCAAAACATATTTTCTCTTTCATTTTGTTGTTTTTCGGAGAAAATTTCGGTTTTTATTTAACAGAACTTTCTAGACAAATGAAGAACGGAGGAATCGTCAGGAATGATTTGACGGAAGATGATAAGAATTGCACCAATGGAATCAAATGGATTCAAGATGTGAGTGCAGATTTTTTTATTTTTAAACGATTTTAAAATTCTCTTCTTTAGGCTTTCGGTGATTGTGTGGACACCGACTTGAAGCTGCTCGGCTTCATCATTGGTTTCATCTCATTGTTGTTGTGGCTCGTGCCGCTTTTCCCGCAGCTTCTTCAAAACTACAAAACGAAAAAATGCGATGGGTTGTCGCTGTATTTTCTCTTTTTCTGGTAACTTTTCATTTTGGACAAGGTTTTTATTATCAAAGTTTAGGCTCGTCGGCGATACGTGTAACATGTTGGGCGCAATCCTTACCAATCAGCAACCGATTCAGAAGATTATTGGTGTTTACTACATTTTTCAGGTAATGAAATTGAAATTAAGCTGTAAGTATTTAATGTGCGTCGTTTCGTTTTTAAATTTACAATTTAGGATCTCGTTCTCTGGGGTCAATACGGCTACTATACCTATTTGTACAAGCGCGGTGAAAGAAGTGAGTGCTTGTTTTGTACATTGTTAAATTTTAAGATCCACATGTAAATGCAATCATTTTAGGAGGCACAATCGTTGTTCCTTGTATCGCCATCGCTTCACTCACTTCGTTTTGTTTCTTGCCGAATGATGCATCACATGGACATTTCCAAGTAAGCGAGGTCTTAGCTACTCGAAATTCCAACTACAACCATTTTCCTTCAATAAGCGACAGATTTTCGTTTTTTTTTATCTAAAGCACTCCCCATTGACATCATTTTCGGGCGACTCTTTTGGAAAAATAACCTTTTTATTTTGCTAAAATGGATGCCGTGTTTTTCTTTTAAGTCTAACTTTTAACTCTAATGAGTAAATCTAAAGTTCCTAGACTTAAGAGAAAAATACGGCTCTTTTTAATCTTTTTCACCTCAGGCTTTCCCGTCATCTCCACATTCGCGAGTGATTCGATCGGTGGATTCTCTGCGGGATCCGTCATTCGAAAACGCCCTCCAAATGTGGCCAATCTTCGAGAGTTATACTGATGTGGTAAGCACTTCTCTTCTTTGGTTTCACTTTTCTGTTCATGCACAAAGAGGTTTTGTTAAATTTAGATTAAAATAGATTTTATACCCAATCGGTAATAAGCTTTTTAAACACTTTTTAACTTTTTACACTAGACTTATTGATAATGGCACATCTTTAACATTTAATTTAGCTCGGATACGTGATTGGATCGATAGCGGCGCTTTGCTATTTTGGTGGACGAATCCCGCAATTGGTCAAGAACTATCGAAGGTTTTTGCTTTTAAATTTTAATCATCATCATTTTTACTCTAGAAAAAGTTGTGAAGGTCTTTCTTTGCTGATGTTCTACATTATCATCGCTGCTAACATGACATACGGGATTTCGGTGCTTTTAGCGTGCACAGGATGGTTGTATTTCTTGAGGTCAGTATTTTTAGCCTGCTTTGCGAAGAACTTTGAGCTTTTCTGGGCTGATAAGGGGATAGGGTCGTGGAAAGGCGGGAATTTGTTCTTTTGGGGTAATGAAACGAAAAAGAATCTAGTAGAATGAGATGTAATTTTATTTTAATCGCTGCTATTTTAGGCATCTACCCTGGGTGGCGGGCAGTCTTGGTTGTTGTTTCTTCGATTTCATCATGATCAGCCAATACTACTACTACAATCGACGACAAGCTGCCGGCACGGATCATGAACGACTTCTCGAATCGGAACACGAGGAATAGAATTTATGGTGCTTACGTTTGCTCAAGGTTCTCCTTCACACAGGTTTCCTTATTGATACTTTTTTTGTTTAGTGTCTAATAGGAAACATTAAGAATGGGATAGAAAGATTGCAAAATAAAGGAAATTTTTAAATAGATCATTTCTATTTGGCACTAACTCGTATCGATATGCAACTACTAGGCATTTCTTCCTCATTTTTCACTTTGATTCATGATTCGTTGTATCATTTGTCATTTTCACACTTGTTTCCTTTCAAATTTTCTCCCCGAGTCTAACCACGGTTATTTGTATTATTTTATGATTTTAATTTTGCTAAATGTATTGACAAGATTTTCCCCAACGGCCGAAATCCTCTCCATTTACAGATTCAGGTAAAATTTGTGATAGTCAAGGCAATAATTTCTCACACGTTCTCTTTCTTTGTTCGATTCCTGTGATTTCATCCTCCCCTGTATCTTCTAATTTGTATATGTATTTGAATAAATGGCTAAAAGTCGATTAAACTCTAAAAAGCAAATCATTTTATCATTTTCTTTTGCGTCGTATAGCCGCCGAATACGTTAAAGTTTAGTTTTAAAGTTTTTTTTTTCTGTTTGATCCGGCGCTTCTTTTCTTTGGCAATGGTAAAAAAATGGGTTTTGTATGGGGATGGGTTTTGTAAGTTTTTCTTACTTTAATAAGTGAATAGTTCTGTAAGTTGCACTATGAAATACTGGTGTAGATGCTTTTTAATGCGTTTTGATTGAAGTTTTTGTACTAAATTACAAATAAATTTTTTTTGTACTAATGTTTAAAATTATCGTTTAAACATCTTTTTATATTACTTTACATTTTTCAATTTTTCAACCGGTGATCGATCGTTAGACAACAAAGATGTGTGGATTTTTCTTATAATGATGATCATATAATGATGATGATGATCATCATTATATGATCATCATCATCATTGTGCTCACCGTCATTTGTTGGGTCATCGTTTTTTTTTAGAATTTGGTAAGTTTTTACAAGTTGTTACAAGTTGTTACTTACGTTTTCTTTATCTCATATAAATTTACTTGTTTAGTTAAGTTACATACTTAAGAGCTTTTAGAAATTTATTTTGCTTTTTTTTTTGTTTTGTAGATAGAGAAACTTTCAGGTTGCTTAATAAAAGTGAAAGATTTATTTATGTAATTGCATCAAACATTGCACTCAAATACAGGAATACCCGAAGAAGACTTGGGCAAATTTGGGCCTGGATAATAAATCAATTGAGAATTTTGAGCCCAAATTTGATGGCCTTGAAAAATTGTAGAAAAAAAAATTGCACTTTTGAGTCACATGGAAATGTTTTGAAAAACAATTTGGGGGTTTTGATTTGGGGAAAAACAATTTGGGGGTTAATGCTCTCAAAAAGCTACCGTATCCTGATAAACTACTTTTAGCATTTAAACAAACGGGTTGTCTTTTTGGACTACGGTAGCTTCTTGTACGGTGGACTTTCTACGGTGAGCGCAACTTTTAGAAAACACTTTTATACAAAGGAACAGCGTTTTGATAAATGTGCTTTCGAAAAGATGGTAGAAAGCTACCGTAATCCGTAATGGATGAGCCTCCCTTTTGGGAAATACGGTAGCTCTTTCTTGAGCGAATTTTTAGAAAACACCTTGAAATTTACTAATAACTAACATCATTTTAATCCTAATATTGGCTTAGGACTTTTTGAGTAAAAATCACTTATCAAACTAGCTAAGAAAAGATGGACTCAAAACACTGGCCATCAAGAATGATGGAGAGAAAACGGATGGCGAGAGAACGGATGGCGAAAGGATTGCACCACCCAAGACCATCGGTGAAAGAATATCCGGGCAAAGACAGAGCGGAGAAAGGATTAATGGAGACAGAACATAGGGATTGATCACATTTGGAGACAGAATATAGGGAGTGAGAATGAAAGGAGCGAAGACGAGTGGAGAGAGCACGTAAGGCGAAAGAAGGTAAGGGGAAAGGATGAAAGGCATACCGACAGCTGGCGAGAGCACGTACGGCGAGAGGACGGCCGGGTTCAGGATCAGCGGACTGAAATTGCGGATACGTGGGGAATACGGTAGTTTTGGGGGAAAGCATAGGAAACCTAGAGACACCTATAGTTAGTGTTCTGTGGGGTAGATAAATTGGAAAACTATTGTAACCTCCCCCTTTAGATTTTGTCGAATCAAAATTTGAGGAAAACGGACAAAATCTGACTACGAGGTGTTTACGATAATTTTTCGAAAAAGAACACGACGTAAAAGAGCGCTTGAGTGAGTTTTTCGTTTACAGTTTAAAGTTTACAAGTTAAGACCAAAATTTCAAAGCTAGAGAACTATTTTGGCTTTAAAGAAATCTATCGAAAAATTCTATAAATCGCCAGTGTTACCGTATACTTTTCTTTGAAATTATTTTTCAAAGAAAATGAACTTTTAAACGCATTCATTCTTTGAACTTTTCCCACTAGACTGTTCTTCGCAAGTATTGGGAGTGGGACAAATGCGACCTTTTTTTTTGCGCACCCGGACATTTGCGCACCTTTTTTCGTGTTTTAAAAAAGCTCTAAAAAGCTAATATTAACCAATTTCTATTCCAAATGTTGTTTTTCTAGGTAATTTTAGGGCGTAGAATCGAAACTTTGACATATCAGAGCGTGTGGAACCAATTTGAAAGACAAAACGGCTAGATCAAATTACAGAAAGTTGTCGATCTTTCTCTTTGTATAACTCCGCCCGTTTGTTTCCACAAGCTCTGATATGTCAAAATTTCGATTCTACGCCCTAAAATTACCTAGAAAAACAACTTTTGGAATAGAAATTGGTTAATATTAGCTTTTTAGAGCTTTTTTAAAACGCGAAAAAAGGTGCGCTAATGGGCAAGGTGCGGAAAAAAGGTCGCATTTTTCCCACTCCCGATTTGCTGGCAAATTAAAAAGATACTTTTCCAATGATATAAAACCTTTCCATGTAGGAAACCCACTATGGGAAGACCCTGTTTCGCCGCGGGCCCGTCCCGATTGGGGGGGGTCCCACCAGTCGCCACTGGTTCTGTAAATTCCCGTCAAATATAAAGATATTCAGTTGTTTAATTGATTTGGTGGCTAATTCTCTTCAAATATAAAGATATTCAATTTACTCGACGTGTAAAGAGGATTATTCGTAGCTATTCGATCAAAAAACGTCGATTAATCGAGTAAAAAATTACTCATGCAAATTTTACTTGAGTAATTGCTTACACTGCAAGGAACACACTCTATTTCCCACTCACCTGAACAATGATGGCGACAAAACGACCGGGCCCAGCACGGACAAACCGAAAATTGGCGTGAAAGCGTACGGGGCGAGCACAGTCGGATTGAGGACACCGAGAAGATTGGGAACCGAGATGCACGGAGGATTGCACGGGGTGAGACGCTTCACTCGGCGGTGCTCGGCCTCACCAAGTGCTGTCGCGTTGCCGATCACTTGATGCGCGTGCTCGAAGTTGTCGTTCACCTGCAAAAAACCCAGTAACCCAAGTTTGATATTAGATTGACCGATAAGTCCTTTCCTTTTTGTCAATTCGTTTTTCTCAAAAATCTCGGCCGCTTTTTGACCGATCGCTCTGAAATTTTGGTTACCAATAGACCTCAAGACTACTAATTGTAGCCAAGTTTTCAGAGCAATCGGTCACACAAAAAACAGACGAGATTTTCGAGAAAAAGGCTTTGAAAACGGTCAAGACCTATCGGGCAATCTAATATTTTTTACTGTAGTCGTAAAATGACGATTATGACAGAAAACATAATCGTAAAGCTGATGCCATAAAAAGGACCCAAATTCCCGTCAAATATAAAGATATTCAGCTGTTTAACTGATTTCCATAAAAAGACTTTCACACCTCGCTGCCATTCCTCGCAATATGCCATATTTTCACCCATAAACCTTTCTCGCGCTCTAAACGGCTTTGTTTCCGGTACTCGTCGTAGTCAAAGCCGTGATCTTTACGCTCGAGAATGCCTGTAAATCAACAAGTTTTTAAATTTCAATCAAACCTAGAAGCAATATCGTAACCTAGAGCTCTAGAGAGGATCTAGATCAAAGAAAATTCATTGAGAAGTCGCTAAAAGTCTAAAACTCAAAAACTCACCCTGTTGCTCATGCAATTTCTCTAGCTGATGCGGCAATTGAAAGGTGTAACCGCGTTTTTTCATCTCTTTTTGTTGTCGGCTGAAAGATTGACATCAAAAATATTTCAATTTCCTCCTCACCCAGTAAACGATTTCTCGAGACTCTTGAAAATTTCCATCGTTCTTTTTGTCACTTCCAAAATTTCACCCTCCATTCCAAATAGTTTCATGTTCTCGACCGCCTGAATTTTGATATTGTTGAGGTTAAACTTCAAGACAGGGTCAAGCCAAAGGCTAGGCAAAGGCTAAGCCTAGGTTTTGGACTGATTTCTGCTTGATCTAGTCTAGCTTAGTCTAGGCTTAGCTTAGTCTAGCTTAGCTGTAGGGTCAAGGCAAGATCCTAGGGTCATACGCCTTACAGTAATACCACTTTCCCCCAACTCACTTTCATCGCATCATTGACGACATCTTTTGCTCCGGAAACCTCCATAATCATCTCCAACATCGACGTTTGATCTCGACCTTTCATTCCGCTTGCCTCAAGAATCTAAAACTATTGAAAACTTAATCAAAAAGTAATCCAATTCTACATCATACTTCATTTTGATAAAAACTTATCGTAAATACTATAATAGTACCCCACCCCCAGAATGACGATGCGGCGTGTTGCGTAGTCTAGCTTTGAACGAGTTTTTCTCGACACTGGTTTATGCTACAATGTTCGTTTAGGTACCAAAAAATAGCTGAAATTCGGAGCTATTTTTTGATATTAAAAACGCATTTTTTGAAAGTACGGGCGCTTTGAAAAAAATGAAATACTAAAAAACTTTTGCGACTACGCGACTATACGAGGGGGGTGGGGTATTATTACAGTATTTACGGTAGCTAAATTTCCCTATTTCAATTACTATTTGTGCTTAAAAGGAAAATCAACCCTTTCTGAGGAACGTAGCCTTTAAGCTCTCAAAGATTTAAGCTCTGAAAGATTTAAGCTTGATATTTTTTGTAAACTTGTACTATCACTCACCTCAGGTAGCGGCAATATCTGATCCTCGGCCTCGTCTTTGTAAAAGGAGAGAATTGATGGAGAGAGTTGTCGTTTGTGCGCGTAGCCGTACTTATCCGGCATCACTGGAGCAATTCTTGGCGACAAGAATTTCATATTGTTCTTATTTCCGCCCATTCGACTTGCCAAACCGTATGTCTCACCAATGAACTCCGGATGATTGGCCTGAACTTATTTTTGTGTCTTTTCAGTTTTGAACTGAACTTTAAACTTATTCTCCTCCATGAATCCTATTTTAGGTCTGGGATTGAATTCTGCACAATTTCTGGGTAGGATTCGAATTTTTGTGACCATAGAAACATTGAAAAAAGCCTTTCAGAACAAACCCTCTGAAATAAATCCTCGCTCGGCGTATCCCTGCCCAACACCAGATCGTACATTCGCAAATCGTACACTTTTGCTCCAGGCTCTTTCGCTTGTTTGTCCATCGTTTTCTTCATCGAGAGAATCGCTTCATACGTTTTTGCCCAACCACCTAAACTCCAAAAAGCACAAGTGACATCGTTTTCCCTTCACTCACCGACTCGCTCAGTCCCATTTTTTCCTCTCACCATATTAATGACCATTTTCGAAATCCTTTGCACAGGACTTATCCGATTCTCGAGCAGTGCTGGCATTTTTTTAAGATTCGTCACCTAGAGAGGAGACAAATCTTTATTTAAATCTTTATTCAAATCTTTTTACTAATGTAATGATTTACAGAGTGCGGCAAAATTATGAAACGAACTTTGTAATCAGCTGTTTTGTGCAGTTTTTCATTTAAACGCTCTTTTATTAGATATAAAAAGCAAAAAGGACTTGTTAATCTAGAAAAGGAAAGGATCTAGATTCAAAATCGCTACTTTTGAGATTGAATCACGGTTGATATCAGCTCAGAGACAGGCCATCGAACCCGCCTGATATCAACCCTCTCGATTCGATTCTCGATTCGATTCTCTCGATTCGATATGAAAAAGGACTTGCGCTTGGCCATAATTCGATTGTTTGAGAAAAGGGAGTGATGAAGATTATCGATCTTTTGAAAGGGTTTGTCTCGGTCGTTTCAAAAGTCATCAAACGTTACAAAAGCCATCAAACGTTACGGGAAACGACGACTGGGTTGGGAGAGGACGTCCTAAGTCAGCTACCACGTCAGCGATGCAAAGCTATTCAACGTCTTAAACGTAACCAAAGAACTCAATTCGATCTTTTCTTTTTTTCTCTCGAAGCAGCTCACTTTCTTACTAATATTCTTAGCGGCATTGAGGGATTAGGGCAGTTAGACCTTGATCTGAGTTTAACTAGATTGTTCTAGATTCTATTTGATCCATTTTGGAGACAAATGCTTGTGCTAAATCCCCATATATCAATCGACTCTTTGAAACGTGATTTGGTTAACGTTGGACTCGATTTCTTTGATCCAAAAGGCGATCGACTTTCCCAAGCTCTTGAAGAAATGTATTGCTGCAAACGGTAATCATTGTTATTGTTATGTTGTAATTACCGTATTCTCTCTAATAGTAGTTCACCCAGCCGAGTTGATGACTATTTTACAGTTTCTAAGTTTTCCCAGAAGCACAACACTCAAATCCCCCACTAGATCTCATCGTCAGCTACATTTTCCGACCCCAGATCGATAGGTTCTGATAAACGGTTCTCGAGATTTTGAGGAATTTAGACGAAGCTTAGGGTGCAATACTATCAGAGAGAATACAGTACTTGGCCAGCTGGCCGATTGGTTAAGGAGTCTTGTCTCTTAAGCGGAAGGTCGAGGGTTCAATCACGCTGGCACGATAAGGCAAGATCACAAGATCACTTTGACAACCAACTAGATCTTATCGTCAGCTACATTTTCTGACCCAACTTCCATCTCCATTCTATTGATTCAATGCATATACCGTATTCTCTCTAATAGTAGTGCACCCAGCCGAGTTGATGACTATTTTACAGTTTCTAGGTTTTCCCAGAAGCACAACACTCAAATTCCCCACTAGATCTCATCGTCAGCTACATTTTTCGACCCCACATCGATAGGTTCTGCTAAGCGGTTCTCGAGATTTCGAGGAATTTAGACGAAACTTTGGGTGCAATACTATCAGAGAGAATACGGCAATTTGTTTTTCCTTAATTTTATGAATAAATTATTGCCATTGCGTTTGAAGAGTTTTCATTAATTTGCATAATTTTGCCGGATCTTGTAGGTAGTTAAAGCCAGATTAAGTTCTAAATCTAGACGATCTAGTTGGAGTCCGGTAATTGGCTATAATCGAAAGACAAAGTACTTTTTTTTTTGTAGCAGTTATTTTAAAAGCTATTAGAGCATCGATGAAAATTTGAATAACAGAATGAAGTAAGAATACTGACCACAAATTTTTGACTGTCACTTTTCTGGACTTGATCGGCGATCAAACGGTACGGCGATCGTTTAACGCGACGACGAAATTGCATTTCGGAGAGCTCGCTTTCTTTCTGCGCCATTAAAAGGCTTCGATGGGCTTTCTGAAGTGGTTTTTGTTAAAAAAGTTACAAGTAAAAGTCTTGAATCTTTTCATTAGTATAGTTCTTTTTTTTTTCTTCTACCAACCTTATACTTTTTTCTCATTTTTCGGCTCCGTTTCTCATCGGATCGATCGTAGTACTTGAGGAAATGCGAAAGGCGTTGCTAAAGAGTGAAACTTTAAAAACTAATTTAACTAATTTACTAGAGTTTACTAGAGTTTACTAGAGTTTACCTGAATTCTCCTCTCCACCTCCTCTTGACTCATCTTGATCATTTTTTTCTTCCCAATTTTGTGTCTAAAGCTTTTGATCGAATTTTTGATAGATCTTTTTCAGAAATCTTTTTTCAGAAAGCGTATCCCCACGAACTCCTCCCCGTTCTCGTTTACATTCACGGTGGAGCGTACAAACTCGGGACGGGAAACCAGTTCGAAGTGGAGAATATGGGGAACTCACTTTCTCGATTTCATTTTTCGCATTTTCGACATCGGATACTTGAGCGGCTCGGGGTTGGCTTTGAAACGGAATGGCTTTAAATTTATCGATCTTCCCGTCACTGTTGTTCGAGGGATTACGGTAGTCGTTTTCGTCTTCCTTGTTTTTGTCTTTGTTTTTGATTTCGCCTAAAACCTTTGCTGTAATCGCTAGAATCTGGTGTTAATCTACGGTAAGCCAGGACTGTAGAATTCTAAAAGGTAACAGCCATTTAAAGGTACCAGCCAAAAAATCAGAACTGGATAGCACGGTTGGGGTTCGAACCGAGATCGTCTGGTTGGTAGCCAAACGCGCTCCCGACTGCGCCAGGGCGCAGTATTGTGGTCCTCAAAAGATTCGGCTAAAAAAACCCACCGTTAGGTTTTTCGGCTGGTTGGATAGAAAACTCGAAACGGCGGGTTTTTAAGCGAATTTTTTGGCGGGTCTTTCCTACGTTGCCGTGGCGCAGTCGGGAGGGCGCTTGTTTACAACCCTCGGGTTCCCGGGTTCGACCCCCGGCAGTTCCAATTAAGATCGATTTTTTAATTTTTTTAAAATTTAAACAACTATAATATATTCTAAGGTTTTCTAAGGAATTTTTAACGTTATTGATGAAAACACGATCGAGAAAAGGGCCGTACAGGCAGATAGACGGACAGACGGACAGACAGTGCTCTTTTATATATAGTAGATCTTGATACTCTCGATTATTATAGATTAGGGCAAACTATGGTCCCATTGTGAACTAGTCTTACTGTAGCCTTTAGCTTATTGTGAACTAGTCTTACTGTAGCTTTTAGCCTTACTACTAAAACCCTGTAGTTGATTCCTGTACCTACATCAGCTTGAACAACTGCTTGAACACAATTTAGACAAATTTACTCACGTTTCCCGTTTGCTCTCCGGTGGCCACCACTCGAAATTTTCCCATCCATTTTTTATATCTAAATTCGAGAATGATTCTGAAGCTTTGTTTCTTTCAGAATAATACAATAATTCAGAACAATTTTTGTACAATTAATTAATTAATTATCAATTCATTTTTGTATCTTTTAAGCATTTCAGCATAAACAAACCGATTCTTGTGCTTCAGCACTTTCAGCGGGTCGATTTTTTGCTTGAACTTTCGTCTCTTCAACACATTTGGCGAGATTGTACTTGGCGAGCTGAAGCTTTAGAAATAACAGTTGATTGTTCGGTGAAAGTACGATAAATTGTTTAAGCTTGAAGGATTTGGAGATACTTGACTTCCTGTAACAGCTTAAATAAAGTAAAGCTTTAACAATTGATTGTAAAGCTTTAACAATTCATTGTAAAGCTTTAACAATTCATTGTAAAGCTTTAACAATTGAGTAGCTTTAACAAGATTGTAAAGCTTTAACACATTGTAGCTTTACCATTGTAAGCTTTACAATTCATTGTAGCTTTAACAATTGTTGTAAGCTTTAACAACTGAGCTTTACCATTGTAGCTTTAACAATTGATTGTAGCTTTACATTGTTGTAGCTTTAACAATTCATTGTAAAGCTTTAACAATTCATTGTAAAGCTTTAACAATTCATTGTAAAGCTTTAACAATTCATTGTAAAGCTTTAACAATTCATTGTAAAGCTTTAACAATTCATTGTAAAGCTTTAACAATTCATTGTAAAGCTTTAACAATTCAACAAAATTTGCGATACGATAAATTTAGTCGTACAAAGCTTTTCCTAGATAAAGATATTCAGCTAAATGAATAAATAGCTTTCATAGCAGTCGTATAAGATGGTTTAGCGTATATAAGCTGGCTTGGCGTATATAAGGTGGTTCATTATCGTTAATTAATACGTAAAATTATGGTAATTTCTTTGCTTTTAATGCATTTGAGAAGGGCTTTTAATGCAAGCTTTTTTAAGAGGCACAGACTCTAATTCCTTGTATCACATTCTTCACACCTTGACAATCACCGCAAAGCTCAATTTAGCAAATTCACCTCCTTGTTGGCGTCATTTCTTCTTGTCGGAAAGCAACGCCGCCATCTTGTGTCGATCCCACGGCCGATACCATCTCTTCGCCACTTTTCTTTGCCATAAAATCATCATATTTCACTCGATGCAGTCTCATCTCTTCGTAAGCGATTTTCCCATCAATTAAGCATCTTTAAATATGGGTAAATGAAGATTTACTGTTTCTTTTTTTACCTTGCCGCGCTCACGATATCTTTTCTGTCTCGAATTTTGTCCAAACAACGTATCATCTTGATCTTTTGAGCTAAATTTTCAATAATTCAATAGATATTCTGTTTTTTAATCTTTTAAGCTTTTGATTGGTTTGAAATTTTGAACAAAGCTTTTCTCTATTTAGAGTTTACTGTAGGTTTTTGGGATGAAAGTTTAGAATTGGATTGGAGGATACTGTAGCTGGCTGGCTGTAGCTGGCTGGCTGTAGCTGGCTGGCTGTAGCTGGCTGGCTGTAGCTGGCTGGCTGTAGCTGGCTGGCTGTAGCTGGCTGGCTGTAGCTGGCTGGCTGTAGCTGGCTGGCTGTAGCTGGCTGGCTGTAGCTGGCTGGCTGTAGCTGGCTGGCTGTAGCTGGCTGGCTGTAGCTGGCTGGCTGTAGCTGGCTGGCTGTAGCTGACAGCTGGCTTACTGTAGGCTTACTGTAGGCTTAGTGTAGGCTTACTCTAGGCTTACTGTAGGGTTACTGTAGGCTTACTGTAGGCTTAGTGTAGGCTTACTCTAGGCTTACTGTAGGGTTACTGTAGGCTTACTGTAGGCTTGCTGTAGGGTTACTGTAGTAGACCTAATGCTTTACAGCTCAGCTTGTTTCAAGCTTTCCTTCAACTCACCTTTACTCAATTTCCTCATCAACTGTTTCCCCATTTCGCCCATTAGCGCCTTGATCGAGTGAATGTACCAATTGTAGTGGATTTGCATAGTCTGAGAAAGAAATGAATAGACCATAAACAAGCAAAGCGAGACGCGGTATTCAAGAAATGATAATTACGCTTTAAACGTACTTTATTGTACTCTAAACGTACTTTATTGTACTTTAAACGTATTTTATTGTACTTCACGTACTTTATTATACTTTAAACGTACTTTATTGTACTTTAAACGTACTTTATTGTACTTTAAACGTACTTTATTGTACTTTAAACGTACTTTATTGTATCCTTTCTCATCAAGTCGAATATCCTTGAAATCACTCATATCTCGGTTCACGCGTTTTCGTGAAATTGCTAAAAAATATAAATTCGAAATTATTTCTAAACTAATTCTAACTTAAATAAATAAATAAATGCAAACTTCTTTTGCTCACCCTTTGTCCTTTCCAATTGATAGATCATAAAAATGAGGCAAACGAGTAAAAGGAAACGTTTTGTCATCTTGATGCCAGTTTCGAGTTAGAAATGAGTGAAATTCTCTGAAAAATAGCGAAAATAAGGAAGAAAATAAAAAATATATAAAGTAAAGCAGATGAAAAGTGATTCCTGGAAGATGGGAAGCAGAACAACAGTCATCGACCGTTGAAAACGTTTAGGGAATCGGCTGTGACTTGTAGCGGCTGTAATGATCAGTTGTAATGATCAGCTGTAATGATCGGCTGCAACGATCAGCTGTCATGATCGGCTGCAACGATCAGCTGTAACGATCGGCTGCAACGATCAGCTGTAACGATCGGCTGTAACGATCAGCTGTAACGATCAACTGTAATGATCGGCTGCAACGATCAGCTGTCATGATCGGCTGCAACGATCAGCTGTAACGATCGGCTGTAACGATCAGCTGTAACGATCAACTGTAATGATCGGCTGTAATGATCAGCTGTAATGATCGGCTGCAACGATCAGCTGCAACGATCAGCTGTAACGATCAGCTGTAACGATCAGCTGCAACGATCAGCTGCAACGATCAGCTGCAATGATCAGCTGTAACGATCAGCTGTAACGATCAACGATCAAAGCATAAGGAAAGTTATCAAATAATAACACGAAATAAGGAAATGTTTGAATGAAATAAGGAAATGTTGAATGAAACAAGGAAATGTTTGAATAAGATCGTTGGATTGGAGATTGGATGAAAGGATCAAGTCGGAATAATCCTTTAAATGAAAAGTGAGCAAATTTTAAGGGGGGAGGGATTTCCTTTTTATTATCACCAAGAGGAAAAGGATTTGAGGAAATTGAGAGAGAGAGAAAAAAATGGGGTAAAGACAAATGAAATGAAAGAAAAGGGACTTTCAAAAGGGGATTTCAGATTTCGGAAGAGATTTTAACGATCACATAATGACCAACTGGATTTTAGCTTTTCAAACGAATTACTCTTTTTTCCACATTGAAAGTTGATTTCTGGATTTCTGGATTTTTGGATTTTTGGATTTCTGGGTACTGTAAGATTTCTAAAACATATCTGAAACTACAGTAAGGTTGAAGGGCTTTTGGAGTTAAAGCTGAAGTTAAAGCTGAAGTTAGAGCTGAAGTTAGAGCTGAAGTTAGAGCTGAAGTTAGAGCTGAAGTTAGAGCTGAAGTTAGAGCTGAAGTTAGAGCTGGAGTTAGAGCTGAAGTTAGAGCTGGAGTTAGAGCTGGAGTTAGAGCTGGAGTTAGAGCTGGAGTTAGAGCTGGAGTTAGAGCTGGAGTTAGAGCTGGAGTTAGAGCTGGAGTTAGAGCTGGAGTTAGAGCTGGAGTTAGAGCTGGGAGTTAGGCTGCTGGAGTTAGAGCTGGAGTTAGAGCTGAAGTTAGAGCTGGAGTTAGAGCTGGAGTTAGAGCTGGAGTTAGAGCTGGAGTTAGGGCTGGAGTTAGAGCTGGAGTTAGAGCTGGAGTTAGAGCTGGAGTTAGAGCTGGAGTTAAAGCTGATGTTAAAGGTGAAGCTAAAGTTGAAGTTAAAGCTGAAGCTAGAGTTGAAGTTGAAGCTGAAGTTAAAGCTGGAGTCAAAGCTGAAGTTGAAGCTGAAATTGAAGCTGAAGCTAAAGCTGATGTTAAAGCTGAAGTTAAAGCTGAAGTCAAAGCTGGTGTTAAAGCTGAATTTATTTATAGTTAAACATTGTTAGTTGAATAGTTTTGAATGTTGAATGACAAAATGACGTCATTTTTGTTAAGAGACTGAAGAAATATGATCTATGATTGCTCGTTGATTTCATTCTCGACGTCCAACCATCGTTCAAATGCAACTTACGCTTTGTCTTTCGGTTTTGTCAAACGGAAATGAAGCTTGAAGAGGATTAAACTAATAAGAGCTTTCATTGAAATTGTCAGAAAATTCGTCTAGTCAAAAGTGGAGTTTGTTTTGTGTTGGGTAAGTTGAAATAATTCAATTGAACTTGAAATTGAAATTGAAATTGAAATTCAAATAGTAAATAGAAGGAAATCTAAGTAAAATAGCTTAGAAATCACTCAGATTTTACTATTTTTAGTAACCGTAACCCTTTGGGAATGCATTAAAAAATTCTAAGTATAAAATAGACAACTTTTAAATATTTTTGACAATTAGACCTTTAATCTTCAAGTCAATTTTCAAAAATCTAACTTTTTCTTATGATTTAAAAGTACAAGGTGAAATGGTTGATGAGCTGAGAAAGAAAATGAAAAGAAATCAATGGATTCAGGTTGATCTCTTGTGAGCAACCGGAAGAGAAATCAAGGATTTCGATCGAGTAACAAAGAGGAGTCAAATCTCTAAGTGTAGATTGAGTTCAAGGGTTGAGCGTTTGTTTCGATGAGTCGAATGTTTCTTTTGATTGAATCGCATTTCCTAAGAGAAAAGATTACGATAGAAATCGGTAGAAATCGCTAGAAATCGCTAGAAATCGCTAGAAATAGATTCTCAATTTCTACCGTAATCTTTTCTTACAGTAACCAGCTTTTTTCTATCCAATCTACTTTTATTGTATCCTTTTTTATTATTTTATGATCTGAGGAAGAAAATGAAAAGAAATCAATGGATTCAGGTTGATCTCTTGTGTGCAACCGGAAGAGAGGGAGAGCAAATCATGGATGCGCAAGGAAAAATATCCACACGATGCGACAGAATGCACAAGATGCTACAGAATGCACAAATCTCCACCATCTTGTTAGAATACCTTGCTAAATCTCAATTAAACTAAAGAAATCAGTTTTCTTCTCGACTGAACACTTTAAATCAGATTTCAAACGGGAGATTAAGAAAGAAATCTTAAATTTTCGGCTCACCGTTTGAATGTTTTGTAAAAGAAAACCCTTGACCTTAGGATCGGTTGATCTGGCGAACGATCGGCTGCAGCGATCGGCTGCAACGATCGGCTGCAACGATCAGCTGCAGCGATCAGCTGCAACGATCAGCTGCAACAATCATGAAAATGAAAGATTGAGTACACCAGATGCACAAGTTTATTCCAAACAGATTAACAAAAAAGAGAAAGCTTGAAAAGCGAAAATTTAGAATAAGGAAACATCGATTTGGGCAACGAAAGCCAGCCAAATGAACAAGTGCTACGGGATGCACAAGGAAAAATCTCCACTATCTTGTTAGAATATCTTGCTAAATCTCGATTAAACTAAAGAAATCAGTTTCCTTCTCGACTGAACACTTTAAATCAGATTTCAAACAGGAGATTATGCAAGAAATCTTAACTTTTCGGCTCACCAATGCGTTTGTATCTTTTCTAAAAGAAAAACCTTGATCTAAACTAAAAATCTAACTTTTTCTTATGATTTAAAAGTACAAGGTGAAATGGTTTATGATCTGAGGAAGAATATGAAAAGAAATCAATGGATTTAGGTTGATCTCTTGTGAGCAACCGGAAGAGAAATCAAGGATTTCGATCGAGTAACAAAGAGGAGTCAAATCTCTAAGTGTAGATTGAGTTCAAGGGTTGAGCGTTTGTTTCGATGAGTCGAATGTTTCTTTTGATTGAATCGCGTTTCCTAAGAGAAAAGATTACGATAGAAATCGGTAGAAATCGGTAGAAATCGCTAGAAATAGAAATCGCTAGAAATAGATTCTCAATTTCTACCGTAATCTTTTCTTTTTTCTATCCAATCTACTTTTATTGTATCCTTTTATTAGTATCCTTTTTTTTATCTTTTCATATCCTTTTTCACTGAATTAAACCAAAAAAAAAAGTAGATGGATTGAATGGAAAATCGAGACAAGCTTTACGACAAGACAAGCTTTTCACACAAAATTGATAGACAAAGATTGGAGGAAAAAAAAAGAAATTTAAAGCGGAACACAGGGAAGGGAAAAGTGAGCCAAATTTAGGGAAGAAAAAAAGGGATCTGTTTAAAGAAACGGATAAATAAAGAGAAAAAAACCCCTTTCCCGTAATCATCAGCAAAATTTTTAGACCTCCCAAATTTCCACAAAAATTCGGGGGGGGGGGGGGAAATTTTGAAATCGTGAAATCTTTATATTCAGCAACTCATCCACAAAAAGAGGAACCACCTCATCCTCATCTTTTTTTTTTTTTTGAGCAAACGGAACACTTTTTATGTTCCCATTTTTAACTTCCCCCCCACTCCCAACTAATCCCCATTGAATGCTCGATAACTGATCCACAACAAAGCCCGTATTTTCACCGAAAACTTGTTGCTTTTTTTGGTCACCGATTTCACCTGAACTTTCTCCAAGTGGTTTGATTTTAAAAGTAAATTTGCATACAATTTGTATGTGATTCAGCTACAGTAACCAGCTATAGAAACCAGCTACAGTAACAGCTACAGTAACAGCTAGAGTAACCAGCTTCAGTAACCAGTTACAGTAACCAGCTACAGTAACCAGCTACAGTAACCAGCTACAGTAACAGCTACAGTAACCAGCTACAGTAACCAGTTACAGTAACCAGCTACAGTAACCAGTTACAGTAACCAGCTACAGTAACAGCTACAGTAACCAGCTACAGTAACCAGCTACAGTAACCAGCTACAGTAACCAGCTACAGTAACCAGTTACAGTAACCAGCTACAGTAACCAGCTACAGTAACAGCTACAGTAACCAGCTACAGTAACCAGCTTCAGTAACCAGTTACAGTAACCAGCTACAGTAACAGCTACAGTAATCAGCTGGGATTCTTAGGTACAGTAGCAACCCTAGCAATCTTACAAGATTAATCATTCACTTAGAAGCTATTCAGTCTTGCTTCCCGTGGAACAGACTTGCTGTAATGTACAGTATCCCAGTTAAAGGCTAGCTTAGGACAAGCCAAGGCAAAATATGTGATGGGTGAAATAAAGCACATAAGTACCAGCTACAGTAACCAGCTACAGTAACCAGTTACAGTAACAGCTACAGTAACCAGCTATAGTACCAGCTACAGTAATCAGCTGCGATTCTTAGGTACATAAGTCTAAATGTCGAAATTTTCGAAATTAGTCTACTCGTTTTTTCCTTGCATCCCATTTCCCTCGGATC